AGGTATAGACTTTTTGGAATTCTGTTCCCATTCAAATCATTGCCTGGTTATGACAGTAGTTAACCGTATGAAACCAACTAGAGTGAAAATTTAATTTAATTATGTAATATTTGCTAAAAAAAACATTCATAGGAGGCCTAGTTTCAGTTTGGACAAAATTAAAAAAACTGTAACAGGTTTAGTAAAACATAGAAACTAATTTAATTAATGAGCACTCTAAAGTAATCATTTATGGTATGCACTTAAAATACTCTGTCTCATCTACATTGCCATGCAAGGAATAAACTATCAGCTGATTGTTGTGCAACAGCTCGATAAAAACATGAGACTGAAACTTCTAGAATACCATTGACCTTTACCAAGATAAGAAGTATTTGTCAAGAGAAAAAACTGACAGTTTAGCTGTTGGTATTCATTTCTCAGAAAAACCTGGGCAGTAAATTGAGAAGTTAGCTTTTAAGAAATAACCATTATTAGTTTAGTTTGAGTGTAGGAGCGCTGGCGACCCGGCTTATCGAACTCGTAAATTAAGGGGTCATTAGAGTGTCGAGGCGAGTGGAGAAGACTACCTGACATAAGCCTATTCTCCCCAATAGTACTATACCGGGTATTTCGCTGGGAGAAAGGGGTGGTCGAGTAAAGAGGGGTGGGAGAAGGAGAGAGAGGGTGAGGAGAGTGAATGTGAGCTGTGGCGAGAGGAGAACAACACGAGAGCGTGGCCGTGTGTTGTATGCACTACAAGTAGATGCAAAGTAGTTTCTAAACAGAAAACAGAGCTTCCAAGAAAGTATCTATTGATTGGCGTTTGACAGTTAATACTAATGCTAAAATTATAGAACAATTTTTTGTTATATAATTTTAAAAATATATGTGTAGCATATGAGGCGTATATATACAAAAATATTCTTACCTATAGTTCGGCCGCTTAGAAAGCGACCTCCTCTAGCATTGGTTTAGCATTAGCACGCAGGTCGTTTTCTATGCGGCCGAACTATACAGTTGGATTTTTTAGCTAGAAGCAGTTAATGTGTGGTGGAATATCTTTGAAGATGAACCTATTTAGCTGTAGTGCGATCATGTGTTTATATGTGTCAAATTTTGAGGTTAAATCAAAACAAACAAACTGGCATGTTGGCAATCAATAATTGAGCATTTAGAGGCCGGTTTGTATTACTTACGAAAGAATTGCCATTTAAGATCGAATGAAATGATTTAGTATATTTCATTGTTTAATTTATAAGAAAAAAAATCTGTTTTTAGGCTACTGCATCTCGTCATCTCAAGAGTATTTAATTCTGATCTCTAACATGAAACCCAAAAGGCGAGTCTAAGTTTAGATGTTAAGATATTTCAAAACTATACGTAAATCATCATTACTGTATGTCCCAACGGTTATTTTATGTGTATCCCAGTCACAGCAACCATATTATTCTATTAATATAATGATCGAAATTAATTAACTTATGCAAGAAGATTCAATATTTTAATACTAACACTAACTCATATAATTAACTATTATCAAAGCAACCATCACCTGTAATTTGCAGGAAATAATTAAGTATCAACTTATTCATTAGCTGATTTGGAATTAGGAATCACGTCTCTATTTCACAGTAAATATTCTATATATTGCCAAGTAGTTATATAAAAGTAGGCTAGAGTAAGTTTAAAGTATATTTAACTATTGTCAATTCCAAGAATTATTGTGTAAGTTTGTTTGTTTTTATTTAACCTCAAAATTTGACAGGTCTGAACACATGATCGCACTACAGCTAAATAGGTTCATCTTCAAAGATATTCCACCACACCTTAACTGCTTCTAGCTAAAAAATCCAACTGTACTTGTTATATGACTTTATTAAAGAACCTGGGCAGCATTAGTCCATTGGCAATCGAAACATCATTATATACCGTACTAATATTATAAAGCTGTAAGTGTGTGTGTTCGTTATTTGTTTGGGATTCTCAATCAAGAAATGACTCGAATTGGGTTTGAAATTTCGCATGATGATAGATCATTTTATAGGCTTATTATTATTCCTATTTGTGTAACTAGTGGGCGAAGTGGCGCATTGCTGCACACGAGAGAAATGTTTACGCATGTTCCGTGGGCGAGTGTTGAAAGTTTATCGAGTGCGGCAGAGGTAGTTTGCACTCGTGTTACACATTATATTTTCCCTACAAATCATATAAATAGTTAGTCTTTCAAACATTTTTTTAGGTTAAGTTAAATCCAAACATCGAACAAAATGGGAAACGCTGCACCTTCTGATCGAAGTCGTAAGGCTGTGGTTTCCTAGACGCGTAATAGATGCGCTGCGGCTTTTGTCCAGGTCCCAAAACGCAGCTGCCGTGAGTGGTTTCCTAGACTGCGTACAATACACATGGTTGGTACGTAAAATAAGTTCACGGGAGAGATTACTAGTGGCTACTATGATGTTATACGATGATTTAGATAATGAAATGTATACTTTGGTCAGTTTCGAAGAAGCTAAGCAATGAAAGGTACATGATTAGGAAATGTACGTGGGCCTCGCGGAAGTTTAAACCGTAATATTAAAGCAAACATGTCAATTTAAAATGTAAAAAATAAATTTTAATTTAACCTCTCCAACTTTGCTTTAACTATTATTATATTTAGGCCTACCTATTCGGAATTTACCGAATTGACGAAATACTGTAGTAAATTATTTACGAGTATAACTGCAATAAGCATTTCATACTTATACGCCAGCCCCGTAAGAAGGACGGGTACTCTGCTAGTAATTAATATACTGTAGGATTATTACTAAGATGTTCAGGGGTTCTTAAAATAATTATGGGGGCTCTTATATTTGGGATTTGGTATTGTGCTGGCTTGAAAAGAATATTTGTCAACATTAGGTTTATTTACAAATTACAAGTATGTGAGGACAAATTAAGTGTAAAGAACATTTAATAAGGGAATTAAATATTTAAATTACACATAGTGGGGAAATTAACACTACCTAACGAATGATATGAAATGTAATACTATAAAAATTTTAATTGTATGAACAACGTACTTCCATAATATGTCATTTCAACAGACAAATTCAATCTTATAATAAAATAACCTACTCCCGCCGCAGTAAACCTGCAGACTAAGCTAATTTTCGCTTACCTAGCAAGATTTACACAAAAATATTCCCTTAAAACTGTCTAATAATAGTGATTTAATGATTACCTAAGTTTGCTGCTAAAGTGATAGTAAAGAGGTGTGTTTGCTGGTTAAAATGTCGATAACTTGGTATGAAATAAACAAATTTCCCCGATTAATATCCGTCAATAAACAAGCAAACTACAACAGTTGATTAAAAAAATAAAAATAACAAAGAGTAATATTTATTTTGCCATTTTTATTGAATTTTATCTCCCCGTTAGGCGTACAACCAACGCTTTGTGGTACTAAATGATTTTTTTTTATAAGCCCTACAAAATGGTTTAGAAAGAAATAGAAAAACTGTATGTTTTAGGGTCAAAATGGGAAATCCCTATTTTCTTATTTAACGAAAGTTTACACGTTTATACCACATTTCATCAACATCAGATTAGGCCTATATTTGCTTGAGTTATCGTGCTGACGGACATATATTTAAAAAATGTGGACGGGTGGTGTTTTTGGCTGTTATGACCCTTCAAAACGAAAAAGTAAATCGGTCCTGGGAGTCTTACAACGAGATCTCCAGTAATAGCTAATAGCCTATACCTTTGAATAGAAAATTCGCTTAACAAACTGATCAATTTATACTGAAACAATAGAAACAAATCAATAGGCATCATTAAACTATTCATCCAAACCCGCGTGATCTTCCAGAGACCGCTCATATACAACTAATTTTTGTTTAAAGGCAAAGCACAAGAAAATTCACAACCGAATGTTGTATATGCAACACTAGTTACTAGGCCTACGTTACTGTTTTAAATTTAATCATCATTATTTAAATACGGTCAAAAATAAAGATACTTTTATTGTGAACCCAACAAGGTATATAAAACTATTTATTGTTCTTATGAATTTGATTGACTAAATAGATGATAAATTATATAAAACAATATTCACAATAACAAATATACAATAATAATGAAGTAATAAACAAATTCCCCAAAAAACACAGCTAAGTTTTTGGTTTTTATTGTAAAATAAAACAGTGCACTAAGGGAGCAGAAAATATAAAGGCTAGAAACAACTATGTATTAGAAACTATTTGGCAATTTCCTGAGCCGTCCATATATAACTCATGCTTAAGTTTAATTTAAGACGGAAATAGCTAGCTCATTTCCTGAATCGTCTTTATGCTATTACTCTAGTGATTCAAAGAATTGGCTGCAATACATTTTGTTTAAATTAATATCTCAACAATAAGAATTCAATTCTAGGAAGGTCACTATCCCATCAGTTGCCCTCTCAGTAACGGAAGTGTTTCCTCCCCAAAGCCATTGCCCTTTGATCCCCTCCCCCCACCGGGGCACCAAAGTCATCCTCTTCTCTTACCCACGGGTCAGGTACTTTTTGGGGAGAGAGGTATTCTTGGGGGAAAAGCTAGTTGGTGTGCGAACTGAAGCCTAATGAAGCGTAAAAGGGTTCGACCCCGGATTAGGGCCAGAGCTCGCCAGGCTTCCGTTTCCCATTAGTTTAGTTATGCAGAAAAAAATGAAGTGTTTATGTTAGGTCTAAGTATTAAAAATTATGTATTTAATTTTTTGTTTACTTTCATTGTTGGTATGTTTATGTACAGTTAGTTATCTTTAGGGAAAATTTGAAATAATTGATATTATTATGTATAATATTTGTATTGGTGGCTTTAATTACATGACAATCTTTTACAAAAATTCCCGAGGAAAAATCCCTTGCCTAACTCAAAATGATAAGAGTTTCTGGCACTTAAACCAAACCCGCCTTTTTTAATCCAGTTTGTTTAGGCCTGTATGTATTTTAATTTTTACCAAGAAATACAAAGTAGGTAAACATGATGACATACCTCTAGATCTGGTCCAAGACTAGGATGTTTCCGTGTTCCCAGCAAAGCTTGTTCCAACTGTTTACGTTTGTCAACCTACAACGGTCCATGTTAGTTAAATTTCTTTATAAATGGTGATAGAGGTGACTGCAAATGTAATAGTTTTCTTTAAATATGTCATGTCATACAGTAGACTCCCTCTTGTCCGGACACCTTTTAACCGGACATCGGTTTAACCGGACTACATTTGGTGAAAATGACATCTCTTTAATCGGATAATTTTTATCAGCACATCGGTTTAACCGGACTAGATCGGCAGGAAGTGGGTGGTAGTGAAACGACTGTTCTCGTGGGAAAGATTTGAAACCAGTGATCACGTGTCTAAATACAATGCTCTCTTAAATTTAAGTAAAATATTTGAGTTACATAACAAGTTTTTGGGGACGTCGGTTTAACTGGAAAACCTGTTATCCGGACTGGCCTCGGTCCCGAGGAGTCCGGATAAGAGGGAGTCTACTGTAGTTGCCAATTTTGTGTCAGTCTACCTATGGAAGGTACAGCTTTGGAAATGTCAGCTCACATAAAACTAAGGGTGCGAGACTGAGATTTGTAATCCAGACAAACCTTAGAAAAATAGCTTAGGCCTGGGGAATTTTTAGCAGAGAATTTGTCTCTAATGTTTCAAAATATTTTAGCGTAGCGAACGAGCTAACCTGAAGGCAAGTGAGCGCAGCGAACGAGCTCAAACCGTAAAGGTGAGTGAGCGTAGCGAACGAACTTCAAACAGGACGTGTGAGCGCAGCAAACAAGCTCCAACCTAAAGGTGAGTGAGCGTAGCGAACGAACTTCAACCAGGACGTGATTGAGCCATGCGAACGAGCTCACATATGAAGTTAAACGGGGCAAAGCCCGCGGGTACGGCTAGTATTTTATAAAAGTGGATTTTTCACAAATCTTTTTGACAAATTAATTTAAGATTAATAAGAAATTAAATGTAGATTATTCAAGACATACAAGCTTCATGAAACAATGAATGAGTTATAGTGTGGAATGGTTACCTGGAGAAAAACAGTAAGTTATAATAGGCCTATAACATTTAGTAGGCTAATCATAATTTTGTTAGAATGTGCATTTATAATAATCATCATGACTATAATGGCGGCACTTTTGTAGTAACCTTCAGCAATCGCTCCAAATAGTAAATTTTCGATGGAGGAATTCTCGGAAATCCTTTTTGCGACTGTGGTAATAGGCCTACAGCAAGAATTAAATAAGATAAGCTCAAATACTCAAGCTTCAAGGTTAAGCTCGAATTGGAAGTAAAGTTGCTTTCTCGCCTTTATAAAAAATATTAATGAAGTTAAGCAGGGGGTTACCTCTCTCTCAAGTCTCTTTCGCCAAACATCGTCCCGTTGTCCAACTGCATCCAAACACTGCTGTAAGTTGCTCAACATGGCTGCAGTAGTCTCTCGGAACGTGAGAGCCTCACCACGGAAGTCCACAGCTGCCTTCACTAGCTCGTTTTCTCCTACAAAAGATAAATAAATCAACCTAAGGGAATAAGAAACCCACCATTGATTTAAAAGGATGTATCTTAAAATACAATATTGAATTACAATGAGAATGTTAATAGTTCAGAATATTATTGACCGACTTCACTAGGCCTATTTATTAAGTGGCAGTCAGATTTAAGAAGATAGGCTTATTTTGACCAATTGTGCATTTTTGTTCTTCAAAGTTAACATGCAGGATAGAAATTGTTCACAGTAAAAAAAATGCACAATAGATTAGGCCTATATTATGATGTTCAGTCTTGCAATTTGTTTTTTGTTTTGTATTGATTGGAAATAGATTTTTGAATGGACAGAATTTAAGGATAGGTAGTGAACCTAATTAGTAAGAATGAAATCTTGATATAATAGTGTAGGCTACACTTGAGCAATTATGCAAATCTTAGAGCAAGAGCGCAAAACCATTTAATGAACATATGATTTGATTTTTAATCAATCCTAAAACGCTCCTAAGGGCGCTAAATTGGGAGGGGGGGTTATGGTGCAAGTAATTTAAAAAGTGTGATCAATTTTTCCAATTACAGTCACGGCAACCCCTAGGTCTAGCCTGAAAAAGAGCCTGGTCTAAAGTAAATAGTTTAAATGTGTGATTTAAAACAATTCTATATAAAAGTGTGTCAATTATTTGAGGACCGGTCAACCGAAACATTTGTTAACAGAAAGGGCATTCACTAGTGTTGCCGCAATGAGATGCGAACAATGGTAACGCAGAGAACGCAAGATCATCATGGGTGTTGCGGCAGTTTCAGGAGACAATCTCTGCTGTTACTGAGACTGCATGATATGAATAGATATTGCAACAAACACAGTTAGAGACAATCAAAACTAGTGATATCATTCCAGGTAAATACATGTAAAAATGTATTTAAATGTTATCAGCCAAAGTTAAAATAATATATCTTATTTATACGGGTCAATAACCGATTATCTGAAGAAAAAAATCAGTAATCTGAATCCCCTGTCATGCAAGATGGCTTTGAATCATCGACTCTCTACTGTAATCTACTTGATGTTAACTTTACCTTGTGGTTTGTTTCCTGTAGAATCAGCGCAAGTATCAAAGTATCCTTGTAAAGTCTTCATCTGATTGCACAGGATGTCTTTGTAAGTTTCCATCTCTGCAAGCTTTTCCTTCAAGACTGAAACAATAGCAAATTCACATTATTTCACTTTTATAAAAAATAAAAGGCCCAGTGGAGTTTAAAAAAAAAACCTTATAATACACTACACAATCTTTTTTTCAATTACTTACTTAATATGAAACAATGGGATTAAACACCTATGACTTTAAATACCTTGAAATCAATAACTTAAATAGTTATTAAGATGTTTTAAAGGGGATAACTTACAGTTGAAATATCTTACCTGATAAAGTTTTTAAATTGTGGATATTTATAGGCATGCACTGAGGATGCGATACTCTCTGGTGTGGATTAAGGTCCGCACGAGTGAGTACTACGACTATCCGCAGTACTATCCTGATAGTTAGACCAATTCGTATATACCAAGGCAAAAATGTGGTTCGGATTCTAGGCCTACTATAAACTGTAGGTCCCTTAGTTGCCATTAGCTGTATGGGCTATTAATTAACAGCTGTGTCTAAGGAATGTTGGCCTTAGTCATTAACAAGACTAAGATCGCGCCAAACTCATCCTACATTCATCTTCGTTTATACTTGGCTTAAAATACATACTTTGTATGGTTGCCATTTAATAAGAAAGTATTAAACATAGGCTAACAGAACAAGCAAAAGAACAACAATAATTCTGAATCTCAAGTCTGAAGTACATTTTGAAGTAATTAACTTAACTCAATAACATGTCTGATTATCTATTGTTTACCTTTTGGGGGTAAAGGGTAAAAATTTTAAAATGCCACATTCCTCAAATATTTTGGGTTTAAGGGCCCCCAGGTCAACAATCCTGCTAGATGTCAAGTATCTATGTAGCATTACATTATCTATATAACTTGTATAAGATTAATTAATTTGAATAAGGTAGTTTTAAATGTTTACAGATCTCCCGCTGGAGATATAAATTTATTTTTGGAAAAGTTTGAGTTGGTAATGAAAAAACTTTTGAAACTAGGTAAATTCATTTCAGTATGTGGGCATTTCAATATAGAAATGGGAGCAGGGAGAGATAGGTCATCATTTAAATTCTTAAATTTGTTACATAGTCTTAATTTGATTTGTACTAATAATAGACCAACACGTGGCACAGCTTGCCTAGATAATGTTATTGTTAATTTCTCAACAGATATGTATCAGTTAGACTTAATTCATGGATGTTTTGCTGATCATAGTGTTTACCTGTTTAAATTTTCCATGGCATAGATAAACCAATATCAAATAAGTTAATAATCAAGTAAGTTAATATCAAATAGTTCTATCAAACAATGTGTTAGAAGGCAAAATGAAGAGGCTTTAACATGTTTTATGGAGAGCTTAAAGTCTGAAAAATGGAACATGTTCGTTGATTATCATTATGGTAATATTAATGAGGCAACACTTTTTGATGAGTTTCTCAGGAAGTATGTCCATTTATGGCACTCTAGTTCCCCCTTAATTAGTATTAAAAATAACAAATCTAAATCTATAAAGATTAAACTAAATTGGTACAACAATAAATTGAAAAAACTCAGAGAAAAAATGATGGCAGCATTCTCAATTTATAAACAATTATTAAAGAATAACTGTGAAAACACTCAAAATGTTTATAACATCTACCTGAAATGTAAGAAGGAGTGCAATTCTGAGCTCAAATTATCCAAAAGAAAAGCTTTTGAAAAACATATTGAACTTGCTTCTAATAGATGTAGAGCTGCATGGGAGGTTATCAATCATGAACACTCACCAATGTGTACCAAGTCTGTGGACTTAGATGCTGACAAATTAAATGATTATTTTGTTGATTCAGATAGGGAGCTGGAAAACAGCATTGATGTTGTTAATAAATGTCTATCGGATTTATTAGGTAGCCCTCATGACATTTTGACTTTTAATTGGAGGGAAGTATCATCAGATGACATAGTGAAAATAGTTTCCAAGCTTTCAAACTCAAAAAACCATGGATTTTTATTGGCTGTCAAATTATGTTCTAAAACGGACTATACATTTAATAAGTGAACCACTGGCCTTTTGTGTAAACAAATCCTTAAAGATTGTCAGTTTTCCTGAGTTTCTAAAAATTTCAAAGGTGATACCAGTGTTCAAGAAAGGGAATAAACTTTTGCCTCAAAATTATAGACCAATATCTATTGTCCCAATCTTCTCAAAAATCATTTTACAGATTCGCAATTTGGATTCCGGGAAGGAAAGTCAACTGCTTCGGCAGTTCTAAAATTCATTAATAAAACAATAAATGCCTTTGAAGACAAAGAAATTGTTTCTCTCACATTGTTTGACCTCACAAAAGCTTTTGATTGTGTTCCTCATAACATTTTGCTTAGTAAACTCATATTTTATGGCATTGAGGATGCACGGTTAGGTTTCGTTCATTCGTACTTAAGTAATAGAAAGCAGTATGTTTCAGTTGGTGGGAAGCAATCTGGCTTAAGAGACGTGGTCTCTGGTGCTATACAGGGCTCGGTCCTTAGACCATTTCTATTTATAATATGTATCAATGATTTACCTCAAAATGTTGGGATTGAATCTGTAATATATGCAGACAATACTACCCTAATCGCCACTCATAAAGACATTCATACTCTAAATACAATGACCAATGAAGCCATAAACCTAGCTTCTGTTTGGTTGTCAGCGAATAAGCTTAAATGTAGGCCTAATCAGGATAAAACGCAAAATATTTTAATTGGCCTCTCCAATGAAATTGAAAAACACTCAGTCAAATTGCTGGGTTTTTGTATAGATTCTAAATTAAATTGGAAAGAACAAATAGAAAACATCTGTAAAAAGATTTCCCGCGTTAATTGCCTAATCTGGAAACTCAAAGATTTTGTTACTTTTGATTATTTAAGAACGGCATAATTTGCTTTTTTTCAGTCACAGATTTCCTATGGACTAATGTTGTGGGGGGCATTCGTCTTATTCAGATGAAATTCTTATTTTACAGAAAAAAGTCATTCGGACTCGGACCATTTGTGGAGCGGGTCCTGTGGATCACTGCAGACCTCTTTTCATCAGGCTTAGAATTATGACAATAATTAATTTATACATTAATCAAATTATGCGGTATACAAAAATTAACCTACATGACTTTAACATAAGACAAGATTTTCATTCTCATAATACAAGGAATAAACTACAGTTAGACATAACAGCTCATAGACTTAAAAAAAGTAGCAATAGTCATAGACTAAACTGCATTAATTTTTTTAATAAATTATTGCCTGATTCGGCCAGAACTGTATCCTTCAAGATATTCAAATCTAAATTATGTGAATGGTTGATAAGTAATCCTTTCGATGGCATCCATGAATTTCTAAAAACAAAAGTTGATATTGAATTTTGATGTGTATCTACATGATCCATATTCTCTAGATATGTTGTATTTTAATTAACTAAGTATTTTAAGTAAAACTTTGTATTTTATTTGTTAATTTGGAATATTTTGTATGTGTTTTGACTATGTCTATTCCTTTGTACAAAGAAAGGTCAATGGCAATAAAACTCTTGATTCTTGATTCATTCAAAGTGATTTAGCACATTACAAAATTGTGTGGCTATCGTCATTCTTGTATGTTTAATTATACCTACAAATAAAAATCTTGGATCCAGCTTAATATAATGTGCAATGGGCGCAACATTGAATTTACTTATTGGCATACTGTGATTTTACACGAACAAAAATGAGAATAAGTTTGTTTTGACTAAATGACCTAGGTCTAAATTAATGTATTGTGAGGTGTTGGCCTAAGCCTTTGACTCACCCAGCCCCCTGGAGGCTGAAGCTGTAGAGATAGTGTTTGACGCCAGAGAGATTGCGCTGCCATGTCGCTTGAGGCTGTTCTCACTGCCGTAGCCAGACTCTACCTGTACACGGTCCACCTGTCTCACAATACCACTCATGTAATAACTACAGTCTACCTCTAGTGCACAAAAACAAAGTTGATTAGCAGTACAGCTACCAACATGTGTAAGGTTTTTAAATTGGTAAGAAGAAAGATAAAAACCATACACTCTAGCCTATAACCTACAATTCACGAAAATTATTAAACTACTAAATTGAGCATGCTATAGCCTAGTTGTATAGTTGGCATGTTTCTTAAACTGGAACTAATAATTCAAACTATCCAAATTAAATTTATATAACTTAAGCCTGTTTTTTTTATAGAAGTTTTTTTTAGGCATAGGCCTATGAAAAACTTGCGGGTATAGGCTACTATATCATAAGCAGGACTCCAAAAAAACCGAATGAAATAATCCAACTGAATTTTTGATATAGGCCTATCGATTATTTCATTCGGTTAGTTAGGCTAGGTTATCCATAACCATACTTGATATATACCAAATTAGGTACGGTAATCAATAAGTTGTATTGAAAATTTGATATTTTCATTCGGTATTTTGGAGACCTGCTTATGAAAGTCTACCCAAACTTGCCGCTCAAAATAAGCAAAACTTAAGTAAAAAGCAAAACTAACTCTGGCTGCGGAAAACCTACAGACTAAGTGAATTTATATTTGTCTGATTGTACTTAAGGCCTATTTTGACTTAGATATTTCCAAAAATATGTCACAGGTTCTCTGCAGAACTGTACCACTAAGTTACTACGATTTAGATTCTGTAGGCCTAGGTGGAATCTGAATAATATGATAATGGGCAAATAGCTTACCTTAAAAGCTTCAAGAATATCTATCCAATATTGTCTATCTTCTGCACTTTCAGCTCGTAAATACCATACACAGTCATTGACAGAGACATCAAATCTACACTCGTCAAATTCATGTGGCTGAAATAAAAAAATGATTAGCCTATGTTAACTTACAAAGTACTCGATAGCCAGGGAGTGCCTCTAGGGTGAAGTGTGGGTTGCAAATTTATACCATATAAGCCTAATCAAAATAAAAAATCGTGTTTCTAAGTTCGAGATTTTAGCTCAGGCATATTGAATAAATTAGGCCTATGCCATGCCTACCCAAGGCGTAGGCTATGAAAGAAGAGTGACGTCAGTGCGAGCAACACATGTTTTATTTTACCAAATCATATGTTTTCTTGTAATTTTCCAAAGACTTTTGAATGACAATCACTACGAATTAGCGTTGAATATATAACACTATTTAGCGTTTTATATCCGATATATATAGGGTTGTATTCAATATTGAATATAGTCATAGTGTTATAGAGTAATTCAATGGTGGTAATATATAACATTTTGATATTGAGTACCTTTTAATTGAAAAAAAGTAAAGCGGTAAATACTGTAACTGTGGCTGCCAAACAGACAATATATTTTTAAGTAACCATGTACAAATAGTTTTTAATATAGGTAGGCCTAATACCTTTTTTGCAGCATCTACTGTTTTATATAGGCTAGGCCTAATTGAAAAACTCTCATTTAAGTACCCTTCCTTAGTCAAAAATAAATAGTTACAAATAAATTGACAAGATTGTATTTACGTATATTTAACAAAAACAACACAAAACGAAATATATAGCTTAAGTTGTAAAAACTTTATTACACTTTAGTGACATACCCAAGTGCTAAACTACTAAACCCGTAGGGAAGCCCCTCGAACTATGGTTTTTCTTAATAACTTAAAAAATTTACTAGAAGCTTACCGAATGGGCTCTCTCGTTTTGCGAAGTGCAAAATCGCGACCGCAGCAAACCATCGCGAATGCAGGACGTCACCGCAATCACAAGAAATCATCACGGCTGTTGCCGCGATTGAGATATGAGCCGAGATATGGCCGCAATCACAAATATAGTCATGGATTCTGAGATAATGGCGGATGCTGCCGCGATTGTGTAAGACACGTATAACGTGTACTGCAATTATTATTACCGGTATGTAGCCTAGTTTAGTGCTGTTTTGTTAAATATAGGCCTATGTAAATACAATCTTGTCAATTTATTTGTAACTATTTATTTTCCACTAAGGCTACTTAAATGAGAGTTTTTCAATTAGGCCTATATAAAACAAAAGTAGGAGCCGCAAAAAAGGTATTAGGCCTAAGTATGTTAAAACTATTTAAGTAACTCATGGTCACCGAAAAATATAGGCTATTGCCTGTTAGGCAGCCACAGTTACAGTATTAACTGCTTTATTTTATTTTTTATTTTTTATTTATTTACCAACGGCAATACACCAATTTACAAAGATAATCAGAAGTTTGACAGCTTCAACAGTGAATGTTTGTGCTTATGACTAGTAGATTAACAATAATAAAATCGAAATTGTTAACAATAATAAACAATGAAATACGTAACAATAATAAATAAAGAAATGAACAACAAAAATTAATAATTATATTAACAACAATACGGTACTAATGATTTGAGATAACATGCAATAGCCTATATATCGATATCAGCAAAAACAAAGTGAAATTATTATTGGTCAACTCGTTCCTCTGCTGCCACTCCCCTAACAGCCACCAAACTGGAAGCGAAAAAGTCGACCGACGAACATATTTCGTTCCCGGAGCGCATCAGACAAGGTATGGGGCAGAAGCGTAGATAGCTGGTCGAAGCATGGTCTAGCTCAAACAAGCGTTGCCTGGTACTTCTGGGAACGTGCAGATTGATCCTCTCGAGCAGAAAAGGGCTGCTGATCTGGTTGTTTAGCAGCTTGAAGAGGAAGGCAACATCAGCAACTCTTCTTCTACACTCCAAGCTTTGGAGACCATAAGCTGCAGATATTGCCTCTACTGGGACGTCCATGAAATTGAACCCAGCGCGGCAACCCATGTGTCTCACTGTTTTATCAAAATGTTATATAGGCTACGGTACTACCACGATTGAATATCCTGTATAACACTATGACTATATTCAATATTGAATACAACACTATATTGTAGGCTATATAAAACGCTAAATAGTGTTATATATTCATATTCAATGCTAATTCGTAATGATTGCCATTCGAAAGTCTTTGGAAAATTACAGGAAAACATATGATTTGGTAAAATAAAACACGTTTTGCTCGCACTGACGTCACTATGCACACACCTTCTTTCATACGCCTTGATGCCTGCCCACCATAGTTTTACATACAGACATAGCTTAGCCTAACTTAGTAAGTGCAACAAAAAAAAGCTGCAACATAGGTAAGGCATACCATAACTAAATTAATTTGAAAATGTAATAGGCTATGCCTATTTATTTACCTACATACTAACCTTAATTGTTGCTTTAAATAAACTAATAGCACCTCGGCACCCGAAACCAGTTTCTTGCTCAGATTTGTAATAAGACAATGTTCCATCTTTCAAGACAATGTATCTTCTTTGCCATCCATGAATATAGTTTGTCCACTTGCTGAGAAAACCTTTTAGCTCATACTGATAACAATTATTTTCTGAATCATCTTCTTCGTCACTCCCATTACTAACATGACCATCGGCCATTTCCTATTAACGAAATAACTTAAATATAAGTAAACTATCTATAAATAACATTTAGTTTACCATAGTCACAATACACAAATCATAAAAATCAATTGTTTCAAAACAAATCACACGGAAATATAAAAAATTCAATATCACATTTAAATCCAGGATGGGTTGACCCAAATTACAGCACTTGTCTATCTACATGGCTGACACGATAGGATTCGGCTGTTCACCAGTCCCTACATCACTAAATACATAAAATAAACTAATCGTTCAATGGATAAACCAAATTGAACATTATTTGATGGCTGACATAACATTAAATTATTCACTTTGTTGATAAGAATGACAATGAATAACTGCACGAACACGAACACAACTATAAAACCAACGAACCAACTAAAACCAATTATTTTAGTAAGAACAAGAACTAGACCTATCTATAAGAAAGAAGTATAAGCAAGCACAAGTTACATGACGTCTACAGGTTTACCAACAATTAACAACACACCTTTAAAACCATTGATTAAACATACTCTAATAGGCTATTCCATGATAACAGTTAATTAATTCCAAATGTCTTATGATTTTTTCATACTGCAATAATTATTGCTTCACTTTCGTGTTGCTATATTAAAAAAGAGGGTAATGGTTAAATGAATATTTTGAAGTTCACACACCTTATAACAATACATAACAGAACACACCAAGCCAGAAATAATTCAATGTCACTCCGTTTATCTCAGCAAGATCGGAAAGTATCCCCTCAAACTTGAAATCCTTCTGGTCATATGTCAAATTAATGTCAAAAAAGCTCATCTTCGCTCCCATCTTCTATGTTTCTTCCAGTTATAATTTTAGCTCAGTGGAATCCATCAATTAAGCAACTGCAAGTTTCAAGCTTTTGGATGTGCAGAGAAAGTTGGTAGCATTGGACCCGAACAAATAAGGAGCCGGCCCATGCCCCATACGACATCCCGCCTGCTGTACTGAAGTACAGCCCATGTTCTCACACCCAACCTCCAAATTTACTTTGCAAAACTTCTCTCAGAGGGAATTTTCCGACCGTGCTGAAGAATAATTTTGTTGTTCCTATTTTTAAATCGGGTTGCAAAAACAATATCAAAAACTGCAGACCAATTCCAATTGCCATTCAGTCTGCTCTAACCAAAATTTATGAAAGCCTTATCCTTAAATGTTTGAGCTTTCAACTTGGCAGATTTATTGCTCCAGAACGACATGGCTTCATCCAGGGTTACTCATCTTGCACATACCTCCTCGTATTCCAAAATCTAATCATATCAGCATTTACCGAGCACTACCAAGTAGATTGTGTCTATCTGGATTTTAGCAAAAGCCTTCGATAGAATAGACCATCTTCTGTTGGTTGCTAAACTTTAGGGCTATGGCATCTTTGCGGCCCATTACTTTCCTGGCTGAAAAGTTACCTACTGAGTCACTGACCGCATACTCGTTGTTAGATGTGGAGGAGAGCAGTCCCGACCCTTCTCTCTGCCACTTCTGGAGTGCCCCAGGGTTTCCATCTCTGACCACTACACTGTTCAACTTATTTATAAACTAGATCTGCACAGAATTTAAAATGAGATTTCCCTTATGTGCTGACGGCATTAAGGTGTTCACCAAGTAATCTCCACATGACCAAGAAATGCTCCATCGATTAACAACATCAGCAAATATGGTGCATATCGAATGCAATGGAGCTCAATGTCTCCATCAAATGTGTAGTTATGTTTCTCAGTCGCAGTAACGTAGTTCATGAGTATGACTTTTGCATCGACGGCAGAGTCTCAGCGTGGTCGAGAAATTCAAGTATCTTGGTGTGATCACTGTCCTTTCACTCAGCCCACATGATCACCTGATCCATATCCTCAATAGTCTCTTTGATCTCTGCTAGGGTTTATTCATCGTTCTACAATATCTCTAAAATCTCCCATGGCACGTGTCACGTTGTGCAAATCCCTAGCTCGACCAATCTTGGAGTACTGCTCTGCCATCTGGAATCCTTATCAAACTGGCCACATTGAAATCTTAAACAGGATCCAAACACGATTTCTCAGACTGGGTTTCCTTACCTGTACGTGCCTGTAGCAGCTTTCAATGTGCAGTTCGGCCTTCAACCGCTTCCCCTGAGACGTCAAGTCAACGACATTGTCTTCCTTTTTATGCTGACAAATGGGATCACTGCTCAGAACTCCTGAATGAAGTGGACTTCAACGCTCGCAGAGGAACCCGATCCAGAGTTGTGTTCAAAAGGAGATATCAGCCCACAAAATACCCACGGAATCTCCATACTGCTGAGATTTAGTGAAGACGTCTGCCCACACCTATAGACTTCTTTGGACCATCACCAATATCTTTCAGGCGTGATGTCCAGAGGCTGCTCTTCTGACACCTCTCCATCGGTGGCACCGAGAATCGGCACATCCCTACCGGAACGTTTCCAGTATATTTTTCTTCTTTTCCTGTCTTTATGCTGAGTAATCAGCTGATATGATAGAGCATCACTTTGCCGTTGTCTGCTAACCATAACACAAGTCACCGCGCAGACGATGTATTACACTATAATAACTTCACTCAACTTACAATACGGTAGGCTACAATCGGTTGTATGCCTTTATATAAATGACGAGATACAAACAGTTGTTGTTAAACACAGTTCTCTAGTTTGGAAAATGTAAAAAAACTTTACTAAGAACATAAAATAACTTCTAACAAGCAACACATTTTTTTCGTAATTTTAAGCGAGAAGGGGCTCCTTGAGCTGGGGGCTCTCCGCGATCGCGGACCTGCGGACCTAGCCAGTCCGGGCCTGGAACGTTCAATTAGGAAATTGCATTAAAAAAAAAATTGTTTTGCAGTTTTATTTTGCGTATTGAACAAAACTGATTGGTGATACTGCTTTGGTGTCAGCTGTTGCCTAAGAAGAACAAAAAGTTTATTTGTTCATTATTCATTCCCAACAACTCAATTCAATGCAAAAATGCAATCTCAATCCAATCCACCTAATCTCCCTCTCCACTGTCCCTGTCGTCGTCGTCATCCATTCCCATTCCAGTCCATTATTGACTTGTTTCTTGTTTGTCATTGTCTGATTGTCATCGTTACGTTATTCGTCATCTACCTAACCTACATACATCGCTTCGCTATGTAAATATGTTGTCAAATTGGCAAGATAAACTACTAACATTTATACATCCCTAAAAAGTAAGCTTTGAGTAATCATTGAATTTAGAAATTTTATTTTTGATTTGAGAGTTGTCATCAAGTTTGTTTCCATAGAACAAGTGGATCGCCAGTTTTCTGAGATATCTAGCCTTCTTGAAACGTTTCTAATACTGCAGTCTTATTGGAATCAAAGCCTGGAAAAATCGTCAGGCCTAGGCCTACTTTTCAGCTCTAACCTACGAACTTAGAGGTAATCAATTTTAATTTGGGTTTCTGGTAATCTCGCACAATGTTTTCTTTCAACATTTTTGGGGACATTCCAAGAACATTTAACAAACAATACCAATGTTTTTCTGTGGCTATGTTGCCAGGAAATGAAAGAGAAGATGTTGAGAAGGGTGGCAAAATCATAATGCCTCCCTCAGCTCTTGATCACTTGACACAGTTGAATATAACATATCCTATGTTGTTCAAACTGACAAATAAAAAGATAAACAGAGTGTCTCACTGTGGTGTTTTGGAATTTGTTGCTGATGAGGGTAATGTGTATTTGCCTCGATGGATGATGCACAATCTTTTGCTGGAAGAAGGTGATATAATTCAAATTGAGAATGTTCTGCTACCTGTTGCTACTTTTGCCAAGTTTCAGCCTCAGTCACCTGATTTTCTTGACATAACTAACCCAAAAGCAGTCCTTGAAAATTCTCTAAGGAACTATGCATGTCTCACTACAGGTGATGTAGTGGCGATAATTTATAATAAAAAGACATATGAAGTGTGTGTGTTGGAAACTAAACCAGGAAATGCTGTATGCATCATTGAATGTGACATGAACGTAGAGTTTTCAGCTCCAGTTGGCTATGAAGAACCGAAAAAACCTGAAAAGGTACCAGACTACGAAATGGATCATGATAGTCTCATGCCAGAACCTAAGGGCTTTACACCTTTCACTGGGGAAGGTAATATTCTTGACCAAAAAAAGAAAAAGAAGATAAGTCAAGAATCTTCCAGCAGTAAATCACAGAATGTATCCAAAGTCCCATATCAACGAGGTATTCCAGACTACAACTATACTGTTGGAACGCTAACCTTCATAAGAAACAACAGACCGTTGCCTGAAAAAGAAAATAAAGAGCCCTTGAACGATTTCAAGCCATTTTCAGGGTCTGGCCAATCTCTTCGCCAGGCAAAAGCCCATTAAAGTGTAAGCCGTTCAAACAAACATTCTATTGCTATTAAAACACAGTGTTTTTTTAAGAGGTTTTATTTCCTTAAAATTTATATAAAGACAGAAAAGTCGGGTTTTAATCATTTTTTTTTAATTTTAAATTTATCACTTTTGGAACTGGTACAACTATTTTGTTGTCTTGTTTAATACCTTTGTATGAAATTGTTGATTCTTTTAAAACATAAAGCGTGTACCTACTGTAGTGAGCAATCAAAAGAAATCTTTGTATCCAACCCATGCAAAATAGCTTGAATCTGTTTATTTCAATAATAAAGTTTGTGATATATTTATTTGTAATTCAATAAAACGTTCATCAACATTTCTGTTGCTTTATTATTTAAATAGTTATTAGATTGCCTTTGTTTTTAAAAAAATATTGTAGCCTTCATTTAATAATTGTTTGGATTAACATAATTTGTTTTTATAAACAAAGCTAATAAATGTACTTTATTGGTTTCATTAGTTTGTCTTGTCTGGTAGGCTAATCAATTTTCCATACAAAGAGAATGCCCTACATAGACAAAGTAGGCCCTACAATGTTTATTATTTTATCATTGAATATGAAACTTAAAATAGATCACATAAGTAGTTCAAGTAACAAGTAACTTATACTTATTTGTGAGTCATGTAGGCCCAATAAACTAAGCAAAAAATTGGTACTGTATTATTATAACAAATTTGTAATAATTCCATAAATGACTCAAACAGTTGGTTTTAGCCTGAGAAATTAGGTCATGTGAGGAATAATGCTGAAATCACGGCCGCCTTTAACTCCAGACCGCGGCCTTCGAAGTGGCAACGTCGCAAGTGGGGTTGTAACAGCTGTTTTGTTTGGAAGTAGCTAATGGTATTTGTGTATTTACAAAAGATTGGTTACTAGACTATGACAATATTGACTGCTTAAAATGTACAGATATAGATTTTTAATTAATATTTTTTTAGTTTTCAATTCTGTACCTATGTTTTATTTTCAACATTTTAATAAATTTATGTTCATAAGTTTAAATCAATAAAGTGTGAATTAATGAGCTGATGTCACCTATCTACCATGTTATCTTATGGTACGTCTGTCACTTAACAACCCTACTTGCGACGTTGCCAATTCTACCAGGCCGCGGCATGTAGTTAAAGGTGGCCGTGGCTGACCTGGTTTAATATTAGGTACTGTACATATAATTTTTTACATAAGATATAACTTAAATCTTGCTTGGGGATAAAATCAATCAACTAATGTAAATAATATGTCAATTACTAGATTAGGCCTACTGTTTTTGAAATATATTTTGTGTAACTGCTGTGGATGTTAACCCGGCAGAGGTCGCACTGAAGTGAAAACTCGAGGAGACGCACACGGTCTTTTCGACCGGGTACAATTAGCCATATTTTAGTAAGTATTGAATTTTAATTGCTCAAAACCGTATAAATAGTGTTAAACATTTAATTTACATTTAATAACCTTCTGAAAATGCTTTAGATGATACAACATAAATTGGACAGTTGTAATAAAATTGTAGGCCTACACCTTGAATTGTTTCTTTTTAGTAAACCGTTTCATATATAACTTAATAATGCCTCATAAGTTTTTTCATGTATCTATAAATGAAGATATCAAACAGAAAAAGATAAACAGAGTGTCTCACTGTGACGTTTTGACCACAATAGTTATTTGTGCAACTAGTGTGAAAAGTGAGCAATTGACTCACTCGAGAGAAATCCTTACTCACGAGCCGTAGGCGAGTGAGGAATGTTTTCTCGAGTGAGGCAATTGTACTTTGAACTCGAGTTGCACATTATACTTTTCCTACAGTTACCATAAAACAGATAAATTGGTGAGGAAACATAACCTATTTTTACACAGAAGTGAAATTTTAATATAACATTTAATGTGAAGTGACAAATACAACAGTACAACAGCTGACCAGCTGATTTACAGCCAGTGCTGCCAACGTATTTCGCGCGCATACGACGTTGCCTGCATGTTACGCGCTCACTATTTCGTGCCTTCACGTTGCAAATCTGGAGTGAGACAAAGTAATTAGAGTGAGACAATGTTAACATTGTCTCACTGATGAGCGAATTGGCCACTTTGCTTTCTCAAATCAGTGAGAGAACATGTACATTGTTAGGTAACTGTAGGAAAATGAATTGTTTAAACTCAAATTTATTTTTACAAAAGAAAAATAAGTCTAAATGTTTATTAAAGAGTAGATTAGTGATACATTATGAGGCAAACTATATTGTATACTATAATAAATAGTTCACTAAAAAAATTGAGATATAAATAATTATAAGTCATCATTGTCTTGTAAAGATAAAATTCCTTTTAAGTTTTAAGATTCGTCTTTATTATAAATTTACTTTTGTGTCTCTCATCAATGGTTCATTGAAAATGTGCCTAGAAGAAAGAAAAATAAGCATTAATTTAAACCACGAGGAGACGCACACGGTGGAATCGACCAGTACGGTACATGACAAAAAGCTGTCGGTAGACTAAAATGAGGAGGTGAAGGATAGCAAACAAAAAATCACGTTATTCCTGGAATGTAGTGTGTTGTGCACCAAAAAGTACAAACCCGGTCATTTAGACAGCTATGCGTCCTCTCCCGGGTCAAGATGACAGTAAAGTAACATAAGAACAGTTGTTGTAGACATTTTAAAATTGAAATAGCCTAAACTCCATCCATTCATTAACCAAAATATGTAATGGGTAATCTGAAATTATCCTTATTTCGGTTAATCGAGGTTTACTGCTGCAGCTCACCACAGTTACATTTACATATGATTCTTCATTAACCATTTATTGGTTCAATACACCAACCAAGAAACTGGAGTATGAGTCTAGTAAAAGAAAAATGAAACAATAAACCTGATTCCTGGGTATGAAGGTTATTCCAGTTACGCCAAATTATAACACAACTCTATTATGAAAATAATTGATTTTTTATTAGATACTACATAAATTTATCATATCAGAAACCATATTGCAAACTATTTCCTTTTAGTGTCTCCACAACAGTAGCACGAGCTCTGTCCAATTTTAGAACCTGGAAAATACCAAAATATGATGATAGAAGTTGTTTGATGTTGTTAAAGATATAATAATGACGAGACTTAGCGTACAACATGTAAAACAAGTGTTTAAACCAAAGTATTATAGTAGTGAGGGATATGAAGTTTAAACTGTATGTTAATTTGAACGTTTTTAATTGTGTTTATCTGTTAGACAATCAATTATCTGTACAAATGAAAATTGTTAAAATCCCTAGGTTCCCTGAGGTCTGTACTGATGTAAATAAACAACTCAGTAAATTACGTGTCATCAAAAGTACACCAAAAAATAAATCAAAACGAGGGGACCGGTGCTAAAATTGCACAGGGTCCAAAACTTGTTTCCAAGGGAAAAATTCATCCAGTGCAATGCTCATTTACCTTTTCAAAATTATGTATATGTTTAGAACAGTTGTTAGGTGACTAGAAGTACTAATCTATATAAATAAAATTAGAGTTTTGTCTGTACATTGCTTAGAATAATGAACTTTTTGGTTATTTTTACATTTCATAGGTCAGAGAAACCGAATCAAACCTTATCTCAATTTCTGTCTGTCTGTCTGTCTGTCTATCTGTCATTCTCTTGGTAACGCTAAAATACGCACTTTATTACAACTACTCCTCAATAACTATAGCACTGTCCCGCCTGAAACTTATTTTCCAAATACTATACATATATGAGATGGTTTTAGACGTATTTCATCGAATATGAGACAGTTAGATATTTAACAGTAAACCCTTGAAAATCAAGTTTTTGTCGATTTTTGACGTGGAATTTCTGGAAGCCCATGTTAACCTTATGAGAAATGAAATTATTGAATCTTAACAGCTGTTTCAATTAAACAAGTTGGTTCTGTTCTGTGATGTTCAATAGCATTAAAGTTACAAGGATTACCAACAGGGTGCAGCACTAGCACTATTATTTCTTTTACATTTATGACAACAGCTAATTTGCAACCTGGAGGCGAGTGAGCGTAGCGAACGAGCTAACCTGAAGGCAAGTGAGCGTAGCGAACGAGCTAACCTGAAGGAAAGTGAGCGCAGCGAACGAGCTCCAACATACAGGTGAGTGAGCGTAGCGAACGAACTTCAACCAGGACGTGATTGAGCCATGCAAACGAGATCAGATAGTAAAAATAAAAGTAAGCCTACCGTTATAGGATCGACCGGCAGACACAGAGGTAATTTAACCTTTTATTGATTGTCATACCGATCCGGAACAACAAAAAACAACATAAAATGAAGCTATGTATAATAGTTTGGCCAGCATATCTTAAAATATGCAAACCAACTGCTGTTCGTTATATAAGAAGGTTTCAACTGAATATTATAAGATCCCCGTGCGTAGAACGGGTACACAGCTAGTTTACAATAAATTTGTTGATTTTAGATCTACATTATATAGAGTATTTTACCTTAGATAAAACATACCCTTAGGTTTTACATACTACCTTAATCAGGTTACAGGTTGTCAAAAATGTAGCCTATTTAAAATGTACATAACTGTTCAGTGTCTTATTTACAATCTGACTGGTTAAACATTCATCTGGAGGAACAGCTGTTAAATTACAATTAACATTCAAACTGTTACAAAAACACTTGGTCAGCATTTAACTGGATCTTTGAAATAAATAAATAAATTAATAAAAAATAAATTAAAACATGAGATTCATAAAGGAAATCACCTTTTTAATTAACATTCACAGGCACGCTAGATCATAAGCTTTATTATGACACCTCAATCGTAACAATCGGTTAAGTTTAAGTAGAATGGCTGGAAAAGGGATGTGACAGGGAAATACCTTATTGTATCAAACATATAGATAGAAGATTTATTTACCACAGGTTGATGGATCAGAACACTGTAAACAATGTGTCTTGTGATTTTTTGTAGAGAGTTTCCTCAACAGACGCTGCGCTTCATCTTCCAATGCCTGCGTTTCTTCCTCCAAATTGATAAACTGTAGATTATAAAAGATTAGATAATATCTAGAAATGTGACAGGTTATCAACTATTTTAACATTTTCTAGGTACTTAAACATAATGTTATTTCTTTATAAAAAACATAGGGCCTAAATTAGGGTTTTATGGGTGTGTGAGGAGTAAATTTATCAGTCGAGTTTACAGAAAAACTGAATGATCGCTTCAAAATATGCATCAAGATAAAACTTTCCAAAACGATGACAAGTACTTTATCGCATGTACAAAACAACTAAAAGTTAAGCTTATAGTTAAATAAAAAAAAAATAATAATAATAATAATAATATCTAGGCTACCGGTACGCTTATAGTCACTGTGCAATTTGACTGTATACTTTCAATGCAATTTTTATTTATATTCATAAACCTCCACATAGCATATATTTAATTCTATTAACACGTTCAGTGCGGCATAGGTACCTTCAAACAGGCGCTCGCCAATGGCGGCGAGGCCCGGGCGAAGCTCCGCTGCGCAACTGAATTGGTGAACGCAATTGGCATTCAAATATTTCAGTCTGACGAATAAAAAAAGAGCAGCGGTGATTGTGCTGCGTTAGCCCGAGAGTGTCACTGAAATACCCAAAGGTAGCAGCACTCCGTAGCCAGTGTCTTTGTAAAGTGGATCGAAAAGAGAAAATTGCCGGAACAAAAGCATTGCCAGACAGGATTTTACGAGAAATTTTAGTACCAACCTACACCAGACTGAAGCTTATATTCTAAGCTACAGGCTGGCAACGATTATAACGTTCCCCGGCAATGGCTGAGCTCACATTGAAGCAAGGTTGTTGGCATTGAAGAAGGACGACATTTCCCGCCCCGCGTCAATGGTGCCGGTACCGCGGGGTCTTTACCCAGAAAATCTACGCTTACACGCTGAACAAATCTAATACAGTATTTTATAATCATTGATTTCATACCTATTATTGATGCCTGATTCTACTCTAAAATCCTACCCTGTCTGCAGTCTTCATAAAAATCTCTAAATTGCAATATCGCAAGGATGGACAAAGAAACACAATTTCTGTTTGTCGTAATAAACTTGTTTGCCATTGCTATAAAAAGAACTTTTTTAGATATGCCTATTGTTTGGTTAACCCATTGGGAAAGGAATTAATGCGCTGCCTGCAGCACACCCTCTGTCGGCAATCAATTTTACCGAATATGCAGACTTTTACTCTAATTGTTATATAAAGAATACCTTAGGTTATTAATAACTCTTTTGCCATTTTGTACACAGTAAAACTGCCTAAAAAAATTGGTAATTGGATAATCAAAGTGTAAAATAAAATGGCCCCGCCGCAGCAAACCTGCAGACTAAGTGAATTTCCATTTGCCTAACTGGATTGACACTAAAATGTATCCTTAAAAATTAATATCACATTTATTCCCTATATAAATAGAATTAGTTTAACGAGTACTTTGGTTTGCTGCAACAGGGAGGGTAAACAGTTTTTTTTTTAATGTTAATACTTTAGTGAGAAATAAATGCATTTTCGAAATTTGATCAAACAAGCAAATTTTCTTCATAAACAAGCAAATTACAACAGTTTGGGCTATAAATGCAAGTTGAGTGTGGAATGGAAAAAATGTGCTGTGTAGCTATGTTAGGGACTACGTTTAGTTTTTCCTTTGGTCAGGATTATTTATCAGGAATATAAGTTCTTGGCCGAGAACTGATCGTGAAAGCTGGAATACAGCCAGAAGGGTTGTCACTCTCTCTAAAGTCAAATGGGCAATCAATAAGTTCGGTCCATTTAAGTCTCCTGGGGGAGATGGCATCTATCCAGCCATGCTTCGGCAAGGACCGGATGCCCTCAAGCTCCTCCTATGTGAACTCTTCCGAGCGAGCTTGGCCTACGGGTACATCCCTCAGGCCTGGCGTCTCAGCAGGGTGGTCTTCATTCCCAAAAGAGGAAAAGCAGACTACTCTGATGCTAAATCATTCCGTCCTATCAGTCTTTCCTCATTTCTCCTCAAGACCTTGGAAAGGCTGGTGGAGAGGCACATAAGAAAGGGTGTACTTCTCAACACACCTCTTCATCGCAATCAACACGCCTACCAGCCAGGCAAGTCCTGCGAAACCGCTCTGCACGAGTTGGTCAGCAGAATTGAGGACAGCCTGGCTGCTAAGGAAATAGCCCTATGCACCTTCATGGACATTGAAGGAGCTTTCGACAATGTAACATACGGAGCAATGGTGCGGGGAGTTTGTGAGCGTGGACTCAAGCAATCTCTGTGTAGATGGACAGAGTCTATGCTTAACTCAAGACGCACCGTAGCCGACTTTCTTGGTAAAAAAATTGTGATCACACCCACAAAAGGATGTCCACAGGGAGGTGTACTTTCACCCCTACTGTGGAACCTTGTGGTGGACGGTCTTTTAACTGAACTCTCCAGCAAGGGCATCTTTGTCCAGGGCTATGCAGATGACATAGTCCTCATGGTACAAGGAAAATTCACAAACATTGTAGCTGACGTCATGAACGGCAACCTACAATGTGTTAAACAATGGTGTCTCAGAGAGGGACTCAACATTAATCCTTCTAAGACAGTCGTGGTTCCTTTCACCAGGAAAAAGAACTTGGATTCTCTTTCCAGGCTGAAAATTGGCACTACTCAGCTGGGAGTGTCGAGTACGGTCAAGTATTTAGGACTGACACTTGACTCCAAGCTGACGTGGAACAACCACCTGAATAACGCGCTGCATAAGGCCAAATGGGCGCTCATGACGTCCAGGAGGTTTGCAGGAACCACCTGGGGAATTAAACCCCACATAGCACTCTGGCTATACGAGGCTGTGGTCAGGCCTCAGATTACCTATGGTTCACTAGTCTGGTGGACAAAGGTGAATCAGATAACTGTCATAGCCAAGCTAGAAAGCATGCAAAGGCTCGGCACGCTACAGGCCACTGGAGCCTTCAGGAGCAGTCCATCAGCTACTCTAGAAGTCGCTCTTGGGCTGCTACCACTGGACATCTTCATCAGATCTGAGGCCCTCAAGGCAGCTTACCGTCTGAGGGTTGCAAATCTGTGGAGGGAAGGCCTGTCAGGGGCAGGCCACTGCGCCATTGCTAAGACTTTGGCTGAGTGTCCTGTGCTTGACATGACCTCGGACTTCCTAAGCAAGGAAGCAGTTTTCACCAAACCCTTAAATGTTGAATTCCGCTCCAGAGATGAGTGGAAACATCAGGAAGGGCACCTCCAAGATATGGAGAGCTTCGTCTGGTACACAGACGGCTCCCTAATCGATGGAAAATCTGGTTTTGGGGTTTACTGTCGATCACCCAGAACAGAACTATCAGGAAGTCTGGGACAATACTGTACCATCTTCCAGGCAGAAATCTATGGCATCTTGGCTTGTGCCAATCTAGGACTAGCCAGACGGTACCAAGACAAAAGGATAGTGATTTTATCTGATTGTCAGGCTGCTCTCAAAGCTCTTGACTCAAATGAAGTCACCTCAAAACTGGTCTGGGAGTGTTTCAACACCCTCTGCAGACTTGCATCACAGAACTCTGTAACTCTCGGCTGGGTCCCAGGCCATGTAGGCATTGGCGGCAACGAGAGTGCAGACAAGCTGGCAAAAAAAGGTGCGAGCATGCCACTCTTTGGACCAGAGCCATTTTGTGGCATCAGCAAAGCAGCCGCTAAACATGTAATAAACAAATGGTCCAGGGGACAACACCTTGAGCGTTGGCGTAATTATCCTGGACAATCACTTGGCAAAAAACTGCTCTCAGAACCTAGCACCCCCTTCACTCGCTGGCTGCTAAAGCTGGGGAGAGGGCAGGTCAAGCAGGTACTTGCTCTTATCACTGGACACGGCCATTTCAGGAAACATCTCCACACTCTAGGAATTGTCAATGACAAGCAGGAGTGTCGACTTTGTAATCAGTCCGATGAGACTGCTAAACACATCATTCTGGACTGCGATGGACTACGGGCTAGGAGAAGGGCTCTGTTTGGTCTAAAGCAGCCAGGTGATGAACCAGACGCTAACATTGGGCAAAAGCTCCTGCACCTAGTTAGGGACACAGGTATAGGCTTACCCAGTTAGTGGCAAGTGGGATGCACAATAAGCTTCGGTTGACGTGCTTGGACCTTGAGTCCACCCTCACACAATCAATCAATCAATCAATCAAGGAATTAATGCGCTGCCTGCAGCACACCCTCTGTCGGCAATCAATTTTACCGAATATGCAGACTTTTACTCTAATTGTTATATAAAGAATACCTTAGGTTATTAATAACTCTTTCGCCATTTTGTACACAGTAAAACTGCCTAAAAAAATTGGTAATTGGATAATCAAAGTGTAAAATAAAATAGCCCCGCCGCAGCAAACCTGCAGACTAAGTGAATTTCCATTTGCCTAACTGGATTGACACTAAAATGTATCCTTAAAAATTAATATCACATTTATTCCCTATATAAATAGAATTAGTTTAACGAGTACTTTGGTTTGCTGCAACAGGGAGGGTAAACAGTTTTTTTTTAATGTTAATACTTTAGTGAGAAATAAATGCATTTTCGAAATTTGATCAAACAAGCAAATTTTCTTCATAAACAAGCAAATTACAACAGTTTGGGCTATAAATGCAAGTTGAGTGTGGAATGGAAAAAAATGTGCTGTGTAGCTATGTTAGGGACTACGATTAGTTTTTTATTTGGTCAGGATTATTCATTGAAGCCCAGTGAACTCAGCTGAGTCCAGTTCACTGAATAAAGACCTAACCAAGGCCACACAAAAAAAAACAGGCCGTAATGCTTGTCAAGCATGACGTCACGATAGAAGACGGCAATAATGTAGGTATTTATTTATTTATTTTCCAAGGAAAGATTAAAACAAGCAGCTTATCACAAACGGCAAACATTACGTCATTGCCGTCTTCGATCGTGACGGCCTGTCTTTTTAGTGTGGCCTTGACCAAACCCATAACTCTTCACTGAGCCATAAAAACGCTGGGTTTATATCTGCTGGTGTCTACACCACAATCCAGAAGCTGCTGTATTTGTGATTTTTTTTAAAGTATACATTTAACTTGAATATATATGATCAGCTTATAGCAACGGTCTAGAGACATCAATTTTCTCTCCTACCGCCTCACGCCTGGCCTAACCAGCCAACCATTGCTCCTAGATTGTGGTATAGAAACTAGCAGTCAAGTTTAAAACCATTTAAATCTAAGGATTTTTCTCAAGAATCAAACCCACAACTTTTCCATTCTCAAGTGAGCACTACTTGCCAATCAGCCACCCAGCTATATAACAGCACGTATCCCCTGTAGGAAAATTTTATTTATATATAAGATTAAAAAACCTATTTATAAATTAAATTTTTTATTCTGAATGCAAAATAAATTTTGACCTGAAACTTTGTTGATTGTCAAGGGCGTGGCCAGAGGTGTTGAAGATGCTCCAGCAACCCCCAAAATTCTCATAAAAGTTTTTTTTTTAACAATAACTAACTGTTCTTACATTTCCCTTTGGTCCGTAATAAATTGAAATAAGATATTTTAAATGCTCAAATCGCCTTTAAACCCACAATTTTGCTCTAAAATTTACAAAATCGCTAACCCCCCAAGGCTTACCTTGTACCCTAAAATATTTAAGTTGTAGTACTATTGACATACTTGATCAGTGTGACAAGGCCTCAAATGTTTGGATATTTTTTCTTCGTCCAGTGCAATCTCTATCCTCCGAAGTAAATCTTCAAACTTGCCGCTACACATTTTTAACTCTGGATGTCTCATTTTTGTTTGTTGATGCAACTTTTTCAGCTGAAACAAAAAAAATACTTAACTACATAACATTACAGTCTATTATGATTTATGAGTTTAATAATACAATTTGATTTTTTGTCAATGTTACTGACATGATTTCGATGTAACATCGACAACTTTTCAGTAGATACAGGTGAGATTAATTAATGCAAGAATATGAATATTCACTAAATTTGACAAAAACTGTTGCAAATGACATTATTTTTTTTTTTATAAAACCCTTTAAGATTGAATTATATGCATGTGTGACAATATACCTTAGAAAGATGATAAACAGCTGATGCATGTTGTAACCGTAGAGCAGATGGATTTGACGACTGATGTGAAGAACTCCAACTACCACACGACTGGAAGTCTGACGTTCCTTTCTGTGACATTACAAACTGACTATTAATCGACATTCATGTGAGAATCACGACTTAAATAAAAAAGCATGAGATATATATTGTTATTGAGTGGTAAGCTGGCCAAATTCTGTCTCTCTCAAAAAAAACTTTTGAGCACACTAGCCTTTGTACAGTTTTACTCAGACACTACCTTGTTTTCAAGTTGATCCATGAGTTTCTCCAACTGAGCGTACTTATCTGCCTTCTCTTGCAGAGTTTTGTCCATTGATTGTGATCTGACAACAGCCTCTTTGCCTCTCAGTTCTCTACGAGCTGCCAGCAGGCTCTGTCTGGAACAGTTCACAGTGGAACCAACCTATATATTTCACAATAGGTCATATTGTGCATCTTAAGTAGTGTTTATCCAATTTCAACATAAACAGAGAAAATTATTGCCCTTCATGTTTGTATGATTTCGATCTCTTACCTGCCTGCAGTATGATATAAATTGTGTTTTAGTACCTATTTTAGTTGTATCGTTTAGGTCAACAGTCCCATTTTGCTATAGGACATCACAAGCTGGAGGCCGGAAGATTTTTTGTCAACTTGGAGGCAGCATTGAACCAAATCCCAACCTGCTTAAAGCTTTTACTTTGAATTGTGCATTATTGTATTGAATACTGAGAAAATCGGCTCGAGCTTGATTTTCTGACGTTGTGCTTGATCTCTCAAGCTTGTAGTCCAGGCTCTGCTTGGCTCGAAAATCGACATTATAGGCCTATTATAAAAATCAACCGTTTCCAAAGCAACCTGATTTTGAACCGATCTGTTTTGGCCTGAGGCCCTTAGGTAAGTAACATTTTTTACCTGACTCGATGTAAACACATCTAAAGTGCGAAGTAAACAAATTTAAAGGGCAGCCTCCTAATAGTAAGACATGAAATGAAATGAAAATCCTTCTTTAGCATCAATGAAGGAATGGAATTATTTATTAGCTAGTGCCCTAGCCACCTATACTAGGTTAATTTGCCGATTTGGTCGTAACAAAATTGTCAAGTTGTTTATTTAGTCGAATCAGCATAGAGGTTCCTCTATGGTGTCACCCGCTGGGGGCTAGGAGGATTAACATTAATGTTTTATCTTCTTAGGCCAGAGGCCACATTGGTTATAAATACGGCCCTATTATTATGCAACCAATTTTGACTGCGCCTTCGCACAATCCACGAGGACAGTTAATGCAACCCGAATGACTGATTACAATTCTTTTACTTAGGTTGGTAGATAATTTATATTGATCGGTCAAGTAATAGTGTTAGTTTAGCTGTTGTAAACTACTTGAACTATAGGTTTAAACAAATTTTCATCATAAAAAAACGTATTTTAATTCTCATATAAATATTGTCATGATAGGTGACCCGTGTGGTTGAGCCTCTCACACTATCGCGGGCCCGTGTGCCGGTAAAATTTATCGAAAATCCCGGTCAAGGCTCACTAGCCCCCCTAGCTCGCGGGCCCGCCACTGTGGCCGCTGCCAGCCGTGATGAGCCTTACTAATAAAATGTTAATTGATATCAATAATGTGCCTTGTGCCTGGTAAAATTACTTAACAATATGAATATTCCAATAACTAAGACATTTAATTCTAGCACGAGCTTTTAAAAATTGTCTACTATTTGCCATTTTTGAGAAAAATTTAATTTAGATTATTAATCTAATAGCCTAACAAAAACTTTTTGGTTGAGGCTAAAATTCGGAAAACACACAAATTAATTCATAATGTATTTATCTATGTTGTATTAAAGTTTAATGACGTTCTGACGTTTGGTTTACATTGTGCGATTTTTCAAAGTCATAAGATGGTTTTTTGACACTAAAAACAACGCTCTTCTTCATTTCAACTGTCATATTCATTTTTATAAACAACCTAAATAACATTTATAGTAGATAGGGTCTATTCCAACCCCTATCGTACACCCCAAACTACATGAGCTAAAAATAAAAAAACAGGAATTGAAATATTTTTCTCTTTAGCTACAAAATCTTCTGGTTTTTAATTAACATGATCAAAAAATTTAAAAAAGTAGTAGCCGAGAAACTTTTTCATGTCACATTTCAGAACTCATATAAAAGTACTGACTTTTATACTTTTACTGTATTTGGATATTTAAAATAGAAAACATTACTTTTTAGTGTTTAACCTTTTAATCGGAGCTAAAAGTGTCCAAGACTTCCCTATAATCAAAGCAAGTAGAACTGACGGATCAAAGTCACGTTTTGGAATAGCCCAGCTGGTATTGTTAAACCGCCAGTTCTATTTGAGTTGACTATAATACTTTCATTATGTTCATTATGTTTCATCCATTCATCTTTACTCTATGAAGGCTCGATGGGAAGTTATTTAGAAGCGGAGCATTGAGTTTTTGCACCATTATCAACAACATTTTTATTTGGATAGGTATGCTCCATTTATTGGTCTTATGTATGATATACTGTAGTTGGTTTAAAGTATTGAATTGACAACGGATGCCAACTCAATTACTAAACAGAAAATACATTTTAAATCAACAAAAGTAAATTTAGAACCTTACCTACCTTTGTTCTTCTAAGAGGTTTTCTTCTCTTTTCAAAGCATGTCTGTAGATTTGCTCAAGCTCTGAAAAAAAGTGTTCTATTCACTAAACCAAAAACATTAAACAGTTATTTTATTATTGATTTATTAAAAATAAAAATAAATGAAAGGTTACTAATCTATTGAAACAATACTTCTGTTGCAGAAAACCTGCAGACTAAGTAAATTTCCATTTGCCTGAATTGATGTACAATTAAATCTATTTAAACAACAAGGTTCAACGAGTACCTGGGTTTGCAGTACCGATCAAAATATATCCATAAACAAGCAAACTACAACACTTTTTTACAATATTCTCCATAAGAATAACATGGCAATTTGAAACTAGACACGAAAAACAAGCTTTAAAATTTACAATGGGATGAGAAGTCTACTTGTGTTTCTTAGTCTATGATAATACGTGAAGGCGATTTCTACAAAACACTTCTCATCCGTTAATAATGGACAGATTTTTACAAACGATGTGTCAAAATTGAGTATTTTTATTTAGACGCCCCCTTTCACCAATTCCTGTAATAAAAGTCCTCGGGCTTTGCCATCATAGGTTATCAACATCCCAATGTATTCCTTATGAAGAAACGATTTTGTTTACTTAAACAGACAAATGATTTGTATTAATTGCATACTAAAACAGCGGTTTATAGTAAACACATGATACACACAAGATTGTTCGTTTTCAGAGTGAGTTCGTTTTCAGTTTCGATAACTGAAGTGGAGTGATTGATTAAATTATCTTTAAGTTGACACTTTTAAGTCATCGGAAATTATGACTGTTATTTCGTGAGGTATGAATTATGAATAAAAAAGAATAAAGTACAAATAAATGTTAAAATTATTCTTTGTCTTTTGAGGTAAGGGCATCTAATCATAAAATTGAAGTAACGTTTGTTGTTAATTGCCTTAAAGGAAAGATTACCTTTCAATCTATTTTCCTTAACTGAAGCCTCATTCAACTGCTTTTGCTCAGCGTCAAGACCCACTTTCTGATTGTTAATGTTATTCTCTTGGCTCTTCAAGAACTCTTGCTCGTCGTAGAAAGAACTAAGCTTTTCCAGCTACAAAACAGAAGAAAGATTATTGTATCTTGAAGAGTACACAAGACTCAGCTCCTTAGACGATGATATGAAATGCCGACCATGGCTGAAACGTGAGCCTTAGCTACCATTGGTTAAAAGTATACCAAGAGGGACAACTAACTTATGAGCATTATTAGGAATATCAGCATGCTTGTCAAAACTCATCTTGTTGTCAATATGGTACAAAGAACCAAAACAGGGCTTAAATTATGTTACCAGCCAAAACTAATAATTTAACATTTCTTTATTTTAAACAAACATAGTTATACATAAAGTAAAACCAGCTGTGAAGATAAATCCTGTACACATTTTTCAAAATATTAAAAATTTGATACTTAGTAAGGGTAAAGATGTTGGATAAACTACAATTTGACTTTGAAAAAACAAAAACTTGTGTAAAAAGTATTGATTCCGTGGTTCATCAAAATACACAGGTACTATGATACACTATGATATAGGTACTATAGGTATGATATAGAGGAACTATGATATACTGTAGATATCACAAAGCAAAACAAAAATAAATAGTGGATGAAAATGTGTAATGTGAGGACAATGGTTTGCTGAGGAAATCCTGTACACATTTTTCAAAATATTAAAAATTTGATACTTCAACTATCTGCAAGTGGAGTAACCATGTTTCTGATCGACGAAGATAGCAAAAAAAAATTGTTATGCAAGTTAAATGTACGTTATGGTAGCAAGATGTTTAGCATGTGAAGGCCTATCATCTTGCGGGCAGGCTATGGAGTTGAGTTGCTGTTGTTTACTTTGCTGACCACCGGTGAGTCACCGATTACAGCCATTTAGTTGATTAAATATATTTTGTTTGTGGTTCAATTTTTGTTTTAACTTGGCCAATATATTACCTATTTGTTTTGTAAATAGGCATGCAAAACCAAGTAAAAATGAATCAAAACTGTGTTTAAAATGTTTTATTACTACCTAAACTTTTTGAAGCTTACTATACGTTCAAAGCTTACTATACAGTTAGTTGGTTAGGTTAGCATTATCCTTGATTTTGATTTTCAACGAGAGTCCACTGTATTACCTATGGGTTTTGAATGTCAAGTTCCAATTTTTTTCTGAAAATAATATAAGTTACAGATTTGAGACTTGGCTTTGACACATCACTAGGAACATTTCTACCTCAGTTTCAATAGTCAATAAACTTACCTGGTTGTCTAAGAGGTGTTTTGGGTAATCAGTAAATATCTGGTACATATTTCCACTGAGCAGAGGCTTGTAGGATGTCAATTGGTGTTTAGGATGTTTATCAGCTCTAGTGTCAGTCCACAGCTGATAACATTTGGAGATCAGCTGATTCATATTAATCATCACTTCTGTGTGGTAAAAGTGCTGCAATACAAAAACAAATCTGTAGAATAGTAAATACCCCTATTTAAAAACTTTGAGCTACCCCCTACCCCGCTACCCTTAATGGCAAAATTTTTGAAATTGACCATAATTATTGTAGGCTTACATATCCAAACAAGTTGGACCGATTTCAAGTATCTCAAATACGGTAGTTAAAAAGTTAAAGGGGGTGCAAGTTTAGTATTTTCAGCCATCCTCATGGCTATTTGTATTTGAAACGTTTTAGGGCGCCATTTTGTTATTAGTGGGTCGATTTTGGTTTTCTTTATGTCAATTGTTATGTTTCGTCAAGACCTGTAAAACTATACCAAACTCAACTATACTTGTCGTTTTAAAATTTTGAGCTACCCCCTACCCCTGCTATGCCTAAGGGCGAAATTTTCAAAGCTGACCATAATTATTGTAGCCCCTCATATCTAAGAGGGGTAGCGGATTTTTAGCCCCCTGGAATTTTACCCCCTGGGCAAACGTGATGTCACAAACAAGGGGGTAAAATTCCGGCCGCGAACTTTTGAGTTTCGCGACATCAGCTCGATGGATTAAACGTGGAATTATACATATAATTTCACGGTTGTGAATTTAATCAGAACACATCAAATTATAAACACCTAGAATGTACGGCCCGGAATTTTACCCCCGGAATTTTACCCCCCGGATTTTTACCCCCGGATTTTTACCCCCGGAATTTTACCCCCGGAATTTTACCCCCTGGCCAGATATATAAATTAGTGAAAATGATTACTTATCTTCATTCAGTTATAATTTAAAAGTTAGCATTTTATTATTAAGTAGCCTATCTTAATTTATTTGACACATAAACTAATCGAACAGGTTTTTAATTTTAATTTTGAGATTCATGTATCAGGATTCGATCTTTGAAGCCAACTGTTGTTAATATGATCAAAATAAAACAGCGAATTCTGTTTACTTAGTTGAGATTACAAAATAAATAAATAAAGATAGGCTACTAAATAATGAAATGTTTACAATTAATTAAAAACAGAAATAAGAAAATCAATCGTTCAATTTCTAAAATCGGCCAGGGGGTAAAATTCTGGGGGGTAAAAATCCGGGGGTAAAATTCCGGGGGGTAAAAATCCGGGGGTAAAAATCCAGCCCGTACATCTTCAGTAGTCTAAACGCTAGTTATATGGACAGGGGGTAAAATTCCGGTTTTTATCGCTAATCTAATTAATTACGCTCTGACTATTTTCATTAGACTTCCAAATCCGCGGGGGTAAATTCCGGCCGTGAATAAACTTTTGGCCACTCAGGTTATACGAGTTCATACTTTACCACTACGTCATACTTTACTTGGCTTATCAAATTGATCTAACCCACACTATATCAAGGCTAACCTCAAAGTCTTCAATGTCGTGTAGGTTCATAAGGGATGATCGGCAAGTAATGTTGAAAGCCACAACAAAGAAGAGTAAGAGAGCTGGATGATTTGAAAGCACATGATCCCATAACTGTTGCCACTCTTTCCAACCTAAAACCTACAAAAACAAAATTAATTTAGCAGCCTCAGAAATTGTTACCTTTCAAAGATTAGACTCTTCCTGCCCATGCAATTAACTCTCTTTAATTTTGTATAAATTACCAAATTAGAAGGGGGCACGACTGAGCATATTTGAACCCAAATAAGAATGAAGGATAAGTTTATAATGGAGTTATATCACCTTTATAGCATTTTCCTTGCCAAGATCATTAATTTGTTTCTTTAGCCATTACTATTGAAAAGCCCAATGATTACAGCACTGGTGGTCAACAACTTCTCCTAGGTTGTGACGCCAACGCACAACATGCCAACGGATAGGGTAACACTAACCTAGGGGGTGTGTTGCTAGCCTAGTGGTTAGCGTCTCGGACTTCGGTGCGGGAGGGACGGGTTCAATCCCCGGCATGCCCACAAAACTTTAATGGGTTTGGACCGCTTTCCCCCAAAAGTGTTTGACTTCATAACAAAAATGCCACTGGCGTAGATACGAGCAAAAAAAAACACACAAAAAAAAACACTGACACTAATACAAGAGAATTTGATTTGATATGATCACTTGCTTCGATGACAACTATCCCCTGGAACAGAGAAAATACAGTTCCAACACAAGATGGTGGACTGGGGATTTGAGTTGCATGAGGGCAAGCGTTAGGAAGCCGTTGAAGCCATTTTGGGAGCCTCACATAATACTGCCTGGCAATTAAAAAAGCCATACAGAACTCATCGAGACAGTTTACACAGGAGGTAAACAGACTCAGCGCTGCGGCCTGCCTTCAGCAGGTTCTGGCGTCCAAACCTATTGGCCTCTTGGGATCTCTTAAGCTATCAGAAGGGCAATACACTACCGGGGTTTGTGGAAATCTCCAAATTCTCCTTGATACCAGGCTGTATATTTGAGAGTGACTACACAGGAGTGTATGGCTAAAGCGATAGAAGTTCTTGGCTGAGAACTGGTCATGAAAGCTGGAACATACCGAGGAAGGTTGTCACTCTCCCCAAAGTAAAATGGGCAATCAACAAGGCATCACTCAAAAGTTCATCAACACTGTAATAAATTTTGTTTAGAAAAAATGAGGCAAGGCTGGTTTAAAAGAAGTTTTGTTAATTAAATCTTGCAATTAAAGGTTGCAATTTATTAAAAATTGTCTTTCCCATATATTTTGGTCTATTTCCTATTAATTTTAATCGGTGAATCTCACCCTTACTGTGGAACATTGTGGTGGACAGTCTTCTATGTGAACTCATCATCAAGGGCATCATTGTCCAGGGCTACTCATATTGCTAAGTCTACATGGTACAAGGAAAATTCACCAACATTGTAGCTGATGTAATGAATGTCAACCTGTCAAAGAATGGTGTCTCAGAAAAGGACTCAACATAAATCCCTCCAAGATGGTCTCATTCACCAGGAAAAAGAGCTTAACTTCTCTTTACAGGTTGAAAATTGGCACTACTCAGCTGGGAGTGTCGAATACAGTCAAGTATTTAGGACTTGACTCCAAGCTGAGATGAAAAACTACTTGAACAATGTACTACACAAGGCCAAACAGGCGCTCATGATGTCCAGGAGATTTGCAGAAACCACTAATCAAACCCCACATAGCACTAGATGAGGCTGTGGTAAGGCCTCGAATGACCTATGGTTTCTTTTGATTGAAAAAATGAACCAGGTAACTCTCATAGCCAAATTATAAGTTCGCAAAGGCTTTGTACGCTTCAAGCAACTGGTGCCTTCAGGAGTGAGCAACTCTAGAAGTCGCTCTTGGGCCACTACCCATCGACATCTTCATTAAAGCTGAAGCCCTCAAGGCAGGTTATCGTGCTCTAAACCTGTAGAGGGAAGGCTTGTCTAGGGCAGGCCACTGAAGCTAATCTCAGTTGTTTTTTTTAACCAAGCGTCCTCATCACTTGCTAAAGTTGGGCAGAAGGTAGGTAAAGGTACTTGCTCTTTATCACTGGGCATGGCCATTTTAGAAAACACCTTCACAATGTGGGAATCATCAATGACATTCGACTTTGGAACCAGTTTGATGAAACTCAAAGCATATAATTCAGGATTGTCACAGACTTGGGGCTAGGAGAAGAGCCTGGTTTGGTCTAAAGCAGCGACATCATGAACCAGACACTAACATGGGCAAAAGCTCCTGCACCTGGCCAAGGACACAGGTATAGGCTTGCCTAGTTTGTGGCAGGTGGGACACGCACAATAAGCTTCGGTTGACGTGCTGGGACACTGAGTCCGTCCCTCATACAATACAATAATAAATAATAATAATAAAAACTTTTATTTGTCATAAGAATACATTAGATCATCGACAAAGTAAAAATCATGATCATACATCAATCGTCAAACAAAATAAAATCAAAAACACTTTCAATATTTTGAAAAAACAATAGCGCTTAATAACTAAAATAAAAATATGTACATATGACTAAACAAACAACAATATATGTTGTTGTATATTCCAATACAAGGACACCTAAGTCTAGTTCAAATCAAATCAAATCAAATCAAATCAAAATATCTTTATTCGTCATCTGTACATGCTTGGTACATTGAATAGTGTCAATGAGTAGCCTATATTACATTTAAAATATTTGTAACATGGGCCCTAAAATTAAATATGTAATAAAATAAAATTAATAGTATAAATTCTTAAAATATAGAAAAGAACTTAAGTTACAGAATGGTTTTAAACATCAGCACTAAATGGACTAAATTAAATTAAACTAACTAACCAGCACCTCTATAAAAATTATCTAGTGAGTAAATAGCCCTTTCAGTCAAGAAACTTTTTAATGCACGTTTGAATGAATTTAAGTTGTTGTTATTTTTAATATAACTTGGTATGTATTTCAAAAATTTGGATCCATTATAGGTTGTTTTCTTTTCAAAAAATTTTAATCGATGTTGATCAGTCTGGATTTCATTCCCACTTCTTGTATTGTAAGAGTGTGTTTGATTGTTTAAAGTAACTTTTTCAGGATTGGATTTTACGTAGATGATTGAATCATAAATGTACTGTCCATAAACTGTTAAAATTTTTAGGCCTTTAAAGTGTTCTACAACAGATTCATCTTTTTGCAGTTTTAACATCTTTCTGATAGCTTTTTTTTGGCTTCTTAAAATCATATCTAAAGAAGTTATGTTTGCAGAACCATAGATGCATAAACCAAATGATATGTGTGAATGGATGAATGAAAAATAAATTACCCTTAAAGTTTCAATATTACAAAGGCCTGACATTTTTGAAAGAGCATGTATCCCTGAATTGATTTTGGAAAGTACTCCTTTTATGTGATCATCCCAACTCAGGGTTTCATCAATCTTCAATCCAAGAAAATTTGTAGTATTTTTTCTTTCTAAAATTTGACCCTCAAAGACCAATTGTGGGTAATGTTTGAATTTATTTTGAGGTGTTCTAAAATATACAAAATTTGTTTTATTTATGTTCAATTTAAGGTTTAATTGGTTAAAATAATTTTCTATGTTTTCCAATTCAATATTTGAGAGAAGTTCAATTTGTTCCGTGGTTTTCCCAGATATTTTTAAATTTGAGTCATCAGCATATAGACATAGACTACTTTTGATATTAGTTAATGTTGATTCTATATTTTTCAAATAACAAATGAATAAAAGAGGGCCTAATATGGAACCCTGGGGTACTCCATACTTTACTGGCTGAAGATCAGATACAATTTTGTAAACTCTATTCTTTTGTGAAATATGAGTAATTTCCACACATTGAAATCTGTTGTTTAGATATGAAGTAAACCATTCCAAAGACTTATTAGACATGCCCAATGATTTGAGTTTTTTGATTAAGGTTGAATATTTAACACTATCAAAGGCCTTTGATAAATCCATAAATATCCCTAAAGTGTGTTCCCCTTTATCTACTGACTCAATTATGGCACTAACAACATCTGCTGCTGCTGTTGTCACTGACCGGTTCCTTCGAAAGCCATGTTGAATATCATCTAGAAGTTTATTGTTATCTAAAAATTCTGTCAACTGATTACATACAATTTTTTCAAAAACTTTTGATATATTTGATAACAGTGAGATTGGTCGATAGTTAATTATATTATCTTTATCACCTTTCTTTTTAAAAATTGGGATGACTTTTGAGATTTTTAATTTATTTGGAAATAATCCTGATATGAAAGAAGAATTGATGAGGTGAGTTAAAACTGGGCAAAGGTATTTTTTGGAGTTTTTTAATACAGAAGTAGGAATTTCATCCAGCCCACTTGAAAATTTACTTTTGAGAGAGTCGATGACACGACTGACCTCCAACTCATCAACAGGTTTTAGATGAAATTGCGGTTTTATAGTTACAGAGGTACTGGTAAGCTCATCTCCACCAGTTTCATGTGTTGCAACATCATTAAATCTGTCTATATCCTGTACAATGCTAACAAAATAATTATTAAATATATTACTAACTATTTTTGGGTCAGATTGATTGTTGTCTTCGTGCTTAATTACAAAATTTTCTATTTCTACCTTTCTTTTATTTCCTACTTCCGAGTTTATTATTTTCCATACAGTTTTAGGAATATTGGATGATTTTTTAATTTTATTTTCAAAAGCAGTTTTCTTTGCTTGCTTAACATTTTGGTTGTATCTTAACAATTGATATTTATAACTTATTTTATTTATAATTGATTTGTTTTTTTTCATATCTTTTTTGCTTCTTATAACATTTTTTTTCTCATCTTTTAATGTCTGCGTTACCCAGCTATGTGCAATTGTATTCTTTTTTACTACTTTTTTTGGAAACGCTTGATCAAAGTAATATTGTAGAATGTCAAAAAATTTATTATACTTGTCATGAACTTGGGCAAAATAAACATCTAGCCAAGATTCATGTTTAATAAGTTGATTAAATAATAACAAATTTGCTTCTGAAAAATTACGGCATTCTTGAAAAGTGTACTTGTTTGATTTAGGAAGTTCAGCAGAACAGGCAAATTCCAACATCTGACCATCATGATCAGAGAGAAGTGTGACAACACCAGTAACTGACATGAGATTAACGTGTGATTTCTTAACTAATATATTATCTATAGCTGATTCTGTTTCAAAACTCACTCTGGTTGGAAAATCAACTAGATATTTCATGGCATGATTTTTTAGCATATTTTCCAACATTAACTTATTTTTTTTGTCTGGATTTGTGCTTGGTAAAACATTGATATTCAGATCTCCTGCCCATATTATGAATTTATACTTTTTGTCTAAATAATCTACAAGTGCACTTAATCTATCTAAAAATATATCCACAGAAGAGGAAGGGGACCTATACATTCCCACGACAACAAATTTGAAATTTTGAATCTTATATACTGCAGCACAAAATTCAAATTGTTTTTCCTCCTGCAAATCATCTAACAAGTGGTGAGGAAAAACCACCGGTTGACCCTTCAGCCCACTTTTACTCAAGATCACGACACCTCCATTTTTAAATTTTGTTCTACAAAAGAAAGAATCAACAGTATAATTTTTAATATTTAATCTATCTAGTTCACATTCTTTCATATCAATTTCCGATAAAACTATAACATGAGGTTGTATCTCCTCTAAAGAGTTTCAAACCATGAAAGAGTATTTTAATTTCTCAGGATATTTTACTGTCAGGAGAGCAGGAAACCTTATGTGTTTACTTCATTTACTAAAACACTGCATAGCATATAAAATATTTCATGGCTAGATTTTCCTTTATAATAATAGGAGTAAAATGACTACACAGTATGGTTTCTAAAGTCCATAGTGGAATTCCAATAACACTTGCCTCATAAAACGCAGTCTCCAACAATGACCAGACGTACAGGTCAGCTGTTACATGGCACCTGTTGAAGTGAGCCATCAGTTGGTTGTCAGCTGATGCCAATAGAGCCTTCACAGTGTCCAGCAGATGGAGTGGGGGGTATGGCACAAACTGGAACCACCCTTGGCACCAGTTTACTATTTCAAACAAAATATTAAGACTTGGTAAATTATGCAGATTGGAAAATGGAAAAATATTGCATGCAAAGAAAGTCTGAATATTAGTGGCCCTTTTCTTATTACCAATTTGGATATGTTTAACTGAATCGCAGGGTCAAGAGTTTAAGGTGAATATTGTGTAAGATAAAACTAGACTACACTTTTGATTCAAAATGCAAAAATAAAAATAAAACTAATTTTAAAACGATTCAAAAATATTGCAGGCAAACTGTTATTGTATTTGTACTGTTTTTGTCACTGTGCTCATTAGCATAAAATTTATTTCTTTACTACCTCAACCTTTTGACTTTTGTATTAAAAAGTAAAGTTTTCGCATTCAAACAAAGCAATTTCTAACAAAGTTAGAAGTAACTTTTTCTTTATTTCTGCAAGGAAATTAGTTTCTATAAATCAATAAAGAAGTATTATTATGGACAAAAAGAATTAAATATAGACTGTCAGCCGTACTGCAGATACCATGGTTACCATAGGTTCTGGCGCACACCACTAGGAGCGCCATAACTACATGGCGCTCCCAACGGTGTGCGCCAGATCTATGGTAACTGCAGCACGTCTATATTTAATTCTTTTTGTCTATGGTATTATGTATAGTGAATAACACAATACATTACCTATTACCGAAGCAACGGTCTCAAAACAAGCAAACTGATCATGTCTGATGAGTTTTACAAAAGGCAGAACAAATATAGGTAGATGCTTGACTTGTAGAAATATTGGCGACCAGTAGGCCAGGCATGACAGAAGTCTGCAACCAGAGAAATTAGGTTTTATTGTTTGATCTGTAATAAGCACCTAGAGGCCTAGAACAAGATAAACTCCAACCGATAAATTAGTATCAGCACTGGCCATTTGTAACACAAAGTAGGTTTTCATCTCTGCTTAGTGGTGATACCTAGAGAGCAAAACTAAATCAATTCTCAGGTGGTGGTTGTCATAGATTAATTATTAAATAGTTGCACTGAATTCATGAAAGGTTGTGTATTTCTTTTTAAACAAAAACTCAATCAAAATATAAAACAATAACACAAAACATATGTTGAACAATTACCATATGTTAATAACATATTAACTACTACTGTCATCCCTCTTTCACAAGTAAAAAATATTTGGTTTCCCTCTAATCCTTTCCCCTCGTCACAGGAGCTGAGTCATTGTTTTGTAATTCTGACCTGGACGATTGACCTATATTCACATCATGGGAGATTCTGAATGACTTGTCTCTTCTTAGGAACCATGAGTTTCTTCGGTATTCTCGTTCATCACCAGTCTGGATTTTGTACAATCGTGGTTCAGGACCAACTTGAACAATCTTTGCTCTCAGCTAACACTTTGGTTTGAATCTGAAAAGCACTGGTTCATCGAGTTTAAACTGAACAGGCTCTGTGTTCCTCATATTCCTGCACAGCTTCTCTTGTCTTTTAATTTTTTCTAGCTGTTTTGAAACATTCTTTATGACCATTGGAATAAGGTGGTTGGTCGTAGATGGCAGTAGAGTCTTTGTCCTCCTACTCATCAGCCGCTGAACTGGGGAACCTAGGTTACCTCTTGGTGTGTTACGGTGATGAAGAAGTGCAAGATAAATATCGGACTGTTCTTCTTGAAACTTGACAATTAAGTTTTTCCCTTCTTGGAAATACCTCTCCATTAGCCCGTTGGATCTTGGAAAATGAGGAGATGAATATGTTATTAACATATTAACTACTACTTTCAGTGGTAAGAAGCTGAGAAGTGGTAGAGACAGCTAAGGTTCAAGTCTGTGCTGTTTACATCAACAACGTTGCGAATAAAACTAGCCAACCGAGCGTAAAGTAGTTGAAATCATAACCTCACTCACAAGGAAATATACCAGAGTTGTCCGTAAATTTAAGGTCTCCAACAAGTTTATGTCGTCGTTACAATGAAAACAGGCAGACACAGAAAACAGACGTGGTTATGAAATCTGACAACAGAGCTGTATTCTTTACAGCTACTACGGTTCCCACCTCTAAGTCTTGTTGTAACATATAATGACGGAAGGGAAAGTTTTCCTGCCAAATATAGGTTGCACTCTGCAGATAGATGTTATCTATTTACTGTTGACTGATGTGTACAGAAAAAGGTGTGTAGACAAATTAGACATACAAAATGTGGTTAAGGGACGTGCAGAAGGCCAAACAGTAATGATAATTGAGGAAAGATTGCTTGCAAATTAGTATGTTTAAGACTGCCAGGGGTTACTATGGTTCATGGGACATCCACTCAGCATTCCCCTTGAAAAAACGTTGTCACTGCTTTAAATAACTTAAGAACAACTGTAGCAGGCCTCGTCTGAACTTCCTCCACTCCTCCGTGGGAACGATCACTTCAAAAAAAAAATTCCCATTCTCTAAACAAATTACCCGCAACTCATGTCTACGCACAGGCCCTGCCTATGTAGACACATTTCCATATAAGTTGATTAGGTATTTTTTTTTTTTTATCTCTTTGTGCCATTTAGTTATAATATTATTTTGTAAGTTATTTTTAAGACAAGGATTAAGTAATTTATTCTGTAAAATACCATGAATTGTACTTTTTAGTTGGGAAATAAACATCATTTCATTTCATTTTTCATTTCCTTACACAGTACACACATGTTTTATGCCCAAACAGTTTTCTCCACACACATTCTTGGAGGGCAATGGACTTTAATAGAGATTGTCACAATTAAACCTTGTGGGAGACCTTAATTTACAGACATGCTTGTACTTGTTCTTAACGAGATTTAGAATTACATTTCTAAGGCTTATTTTGCAATGTTTAAACCCATTTTTAATAACTTTCTGTACATTTATAATACTTTGAAACAACTCCTAGTAAGAAAAATCCCAAGACTCTTTTCACCAGTTGTCACCTTCAGTTAGAAGAACCAATTCTGAAAATGTGGTTGGAGGAAAGTATGTAACACTAAATATTAATTACCTTTTCACACTGCTGGAAAGGGATCTGTCACTCAATGGGAAAACTTTGTCTAAAGTAGCGAATGCTGGATGTATTCCCTTGTTTATCAAAGTTACATAGGCACTTTGGTTTTCTGGAAGTTCCAAAATAGTTTTCCAGATTAATTTCCTGTAGGCTTCTGGATATTCTCCAAATTCTTTCAGTATGGGTCGCAACTGACTTAGGTCTACCAACTTGTTAATCTGGAAATGTTATTTCAACTTCAATCACACCATTATTTATGAAATTATGGTAAGCTGTAATTATTCACTGAGACCATCACAGCATTTACTTAGTTTTATTTAAGATATAAAATACTAAATACATTCAATAACACTCAATTAGTTGGTGGTCCAGTCGGTAGCGTCACGGACTTCGAGCCCAAGGCAGCGATGTCGTGGGTGTTCGGATCCTAGTCACTGCTACTACTTTTTATCAGTACGGTTCACCCTTGTACTGTACTGGGTCACTCCTTGCTTTGCTGGGTACGTTCCACGCACAGATTCATAGCCTATGCGGACGGGCAAATGCAAGGTTAAAAGAGGTTGCCAACCTCTTTAAAAATAAATAAATACTAGACTGATTTTCAGAAAGGGAAATGGGTTAAAGACTCGTTATACCAACCTGTTCATGATGCTGCTGTTTAGTTCTAGTCTTGGCCACTGAGTCAGTCTGAGCTTCTGATACTAACAGCTGATGTTTCCCACCAAAAATCAACTGACTACTGCTGAATATATCTACTTCACCTGTCTGCATCAGTAACACAACATACTTCCCGCTGAGGCTTGACTCGAGCCGGTCTAGAAAAATAAGTTAATGTCATTCCAAAAATCTTTTTAAAAGTTATACTTCTTCCAGCTTAAAACTGAATAAATGATCATTTTTTAAAGTATATTAAAGTAATAAATAGTCCCAATAGCTCTTGTATGCTAAATCCCATATCTCATATCACCTACAAGATGGTTAGTTTTTGATCACAACATTTTAAAATCTTATCTGAACAGGAGTCCAAACCAACTATGAAAGTAAGATTTATCTTCAATTCAAGCTATATTATCAAGTTGATAAGAACAACTAGTGTGATACTCTGAAATGTGAAGGCAAATATAAAATCCAAAGATCACAATAAATCCCATGTAGCAACCACAAAGTCACATCAGCACATTTAAAACACTTCTCCATCAACAACTCATAATGTCATGAAACAAGTTTAGTTTCAAAATGGAAAACAACTGTTTGGATGTTAAGTGTAAGAATTCTTCGAGATTAAACGGATCCTTCAACATTTAGAGTTAAATTTTCAATGGTCATAGCTCAAAAAAGCTTCTCCAGTAAGATAACCTAAGTATATCTTCCAATGAATAAGAACAAAACCATACAACTTACTGACACACCCTTCAACTTGTTCAACACTTCTCAGCAAAATTGAACTTTCTGTGTCCACAAACAAAGCAACACAGTTGGTAGTGAGGACTGCAAGTATCTGAAATCATTGCTGTTAGTGGTCATATCTGAAAGGGTTGCTAAAAGATAGAATCTTTTATTTCTATAGCCCCGTTCACACGGGGCGAGTTTACAAGCTACAAGCCGGATTCTTTACACGCAGCTAGTAAAATAGCTCAGTGTGAACGACGTACTCACTCAAAAGCTGCTTGTAAAAAAGCTCTGGAAAAAGTTGACGCTGTCGCTACTTTACAAGCCAACTCGCCAGCTTTTGAGCGAGTGGCGTGTAAAGTAGCCCAGTGTGAACACAGTTGCTTGTGCTTGTGCGCTTGTTACTCAAAGATGTTGTAGGATTTGGTTCAAGCCAGCTACTGAGCGAGTGGAAAAAGCATCGTGTGAACGACTACAAGCGCACTCGCCGACTCGCCGGCTTCTTAAACGCTGGCGAGTAGCTTGTAAACTCGCACCGTGTGAACGAGGCTTACCACACAGTAAAAAAATTACAAAATTACATTATTACATTATTTTTGTAGGCGATAATAACGTCTACACGTCCGCGGGAGATGTTCGTGATTTGACCGCGATCATGCATGAGGATGATGACGTTTCCGTGGCCGCAGGAAATGTTTGTGATTTTGCCGCGATCGCGCATGACGACGATGACGCTTCCGTGACCGCGGGAGATGTTCATGATTTTGCCGCGATCACGCATGACGACGATGACGTTTCCGTGACCGCGGTCGTAGACAATGATGTTTATACGCCCGCGGGAGATGATAAAATCTTTGCCGCGACTGCGGAAGACAACGATTATGTCTACATGACCGCGGGAGATGTTCATGATTTTGCCGCGATCGCGCAAGTCGATGATGACGTTTCCATGACTCCGATTTATGAATCGGAAATAACAGTATCACGCAAGACAACGATGACGTTTCCGTGAGAGTAGACAATGATGTGCCGGATTAGAGAGGGTCTACTGTACTACTATAACCCAGAATGCCAACCGCATGGTAAAAAGAGTTAAGTACTTTGAGAGAGCTTTGCCTGCCAATTTGTAGGCAGCGCCACCAGCATTGCTATGCTGGTGGTGGCGCTGCCTACAAATTGGCCGGCAAAGCTCTCTAAAAGTACTTAACGCTTTTTACTAAGCGGTTGGCATTCTGGGTTATAGTAGTATGTTTTCTGTGGTCGGAGTAAAATATCTTTATCACTGTAGATGGAAGCTATGTGCAGGTGCAGATATGTTGCATGACTCAGAGATTGTCCTGACTATTGAGCCTACCTTTGTGACTACCTTTACAAGATGCCTTCTGTCTGGGATGAGGTTATTCACCCTACGACATGTCATGGTGGGAGGCTTTTTTTCCAAAAACCTTGGAATTGTGTAAGAAAGGTTTCTCTTATTTTGCCATAGTTAGTTAACATTATTCTAGTCTAGCAGTTTTTTAAGCATTGCATTAATCTCTGTCTAGTTAAAACTACAAAACAGATTTATTGGAAAGTCTATTTCAGACCTATCTAACATGTTTTCCAATTGGAATGGAAGGGATCAAATGTTTTAATATGAGTTTTTTTTACATTTACCTTGTTTGCACCTCCGTCAAACAATTGTGGAACAAACTCTAAATGTTTGACTGCCTTGAAGTTGTCAGGAAGGGTGATAAGTTTTTGTAAGGTCCAGTTATCCACCACAAACACAGCTAGGGCTGCGGACTGTCCTGCCAAAACCATCCCTCTACCATTCCTGTAGACAAATGAACAACCAAGCAGCTAACATTAGAAACACCACGAGGAATCAACGGTGCCACCGGTTTACTATTACACTCTAACTCCAGTGTAAGGATATCATCTAACGGGCAGTTAGATTATATCCTTACAACTGGAGTTAGGTTGTAATAGTAAACCGGCGGCACCGTTGATATGACTGGACAAGTCATAAATTAAAAACCTCTTTGGTTTAAGGTTTGTTTCAACTGCATGAAACACGTTTTTAGGCAAGAATAAATTATTTAAACAATTTGAAGGAAATCGTCGAAGCAGTTTTCAAGATCTTTGTGCAAGCATGCATACATTCAAGCAAACATTGCTCATATAAGAGTGTAGGGTAGATAGCTGTAACAAGATAAAAAACATTTGCAAGGATATTGTTGTGTATATGATCTAATACACATCTTGTCTAAAGCTAAAGATTTTCCAACAAGTAGGAAGGTGAGGAGGAATATTTACTTTTGAAATATCAATTAGATTGTGCACTCTTTACGTCATATGCCCAATTAAATAACACAGTTTTGCTTTGCAAAATTAAGTTACATCAGTACATCAGAAGCCTTGCTAAAATTTAACTTGGAAGTCACAGGACTCAAAATAACCTCTATTTTATTTGTTGTTTTTTTTAACACTGTTTTAGAGCATTGAATATCAAAACACACCATGTTCTTTAAAATTTTGTTGATTTCAATTTGAGGCCTCAATAATAGCATTTCAGATTAGCGTCAAGCAAGTTTACCTATTTCACTGTTTCAATTTAAAATTGATTAAAAATTTTGAAAAAATGAGTTGTATTTATTTTTAGAACATTGAACGACAGAATGCAATAAAAACAGGTGCACAAACAGCCAGCTCAAGAAACTTTCGCACAATGGTTGTATTTTTTAAATCTTTAAAATTTATTCTACATGATTGCCTCCTGAAATTTTTATATCAGAATAATGTAGACTACTGACCTTTCTGTCTCCACAGTTCAAACATTTGTCTTATATGACTAAGTGCATTTTATAGAAATCGGATGACGGATAGACACATTTTGTATCCTGACCCAATAACAGATCTACAAGCTCTGATGAAACGTACATCATACATGTCATCTACAATTAATGTTTGAACTGTTGAGATGAAAAGGTTAGGTTGGAATTGAACTTACACTATTCTTAACATTTAGTTGTGACTGCACAGTGCCCCCATTAGGCTAACACCACTCTGAGTTGCAAGAATTTGATAGGTAATTGTGTGAAGTCTGAATCGCTGCTTCAATCTCAACTGAAGCAGGGTAACACATTGAAAAAAACCCTTTACGGTAAATAAGACTCCATTTAAGAAAGGTGATATCAGACGGTAAACAGTTTAAATAGTCGCAATGTACAATAGACGCTACAGACCTGGTAAATGCCACAGCTCTGATGTTACGTCCGCCCCAATCCTCGGGGAACATCTGCTTGGTACAGACGAGACTGTCAAGTCTCCATACATGCACTGAACTGTCATCAAACAGCCCCAGAATGTGGTTGGATACTGGCATGAACCTTACCTGTAACCATCCGCAGAATCAAGTTCATTAATCATTAATTAATCAGTTAAAACCATGGAATAGCTTCCGTATTGACCCCTGGGTGTTATCCACCTTCTGAACACTCCTGGGAAGAGACTTGAGTGTGGCTGGTTGAAGGATGCCTAGAGTCTGTTTTGTAAATAAAATTTTATTTCCTCCCCCTGGAATCCACATCAAAAGGTATTCTGGTGTTGTAGTGTAAGGAAACCCTTCAGGGAACCAAAAAGCAAAATGATCATACATATTGACCTACATATAATTAAGAAAAGAGGCAGCCTTGCATCTAAATAAATATTGATTAATATTGAAAATGAGTAAGCACATAATTTACAGTTAATTCATGTTCTTTTAACCACTGATTCACTTAGTAAATACCACAAAAAGCCCTATGAGACCCATGTGGAAGGCAAAATCCTTTTAGAAACCATCAGTTTGTCAATAGGCATACCAATTTGCTACACACCCATTTGATAATGCAAGGCTAAGTATTATTGGTGCTCACCAGTTTTATGCAGATGGATGACCTCAGAGTAAGCTGATGTACTAAACAGTTGGTCCTCAGGTCCCATATGATAGCTGAGGTAGAACACACAGTGAGACAGTAGGGCTCCAAGTCACAGAATGACACATGCAAGGCAGGCTCTCTGTGACCCACAAGCTCTCCAGTTGTCTCTCCACTCTCTATAACACACACAGTGAGACAGTAGGGCTCCAAGTCACAGAATGACACATGCAAGGCAGGCTCTCTGTGACCCACAAGCTCTCCAGTTGTCTCTCCACTCTCTATAACACACAGTGAGACAGTAGGGCTCCAAGTCACAGAATGACACATGCAAGGCAGGCTCTCTGTGACCCACAAGCTCTCCAGTTGTCTCTCCGCTCTCTATAACACACACAGTGAGACAGTAGGGCTCCAAGTCACAGAATGACACATGCAAGGCAGGCTCTCTGTGACCCACAAGCTCTCCAGTTGTCTCTCCGCTCTCTATAACACACACAGTGAGACAGTAGGGCTCCAAGTCACAGAATGACACATGCAAGGCAGGCTCTCTGTGACCCACAAGCTCTCCAGTTGTCTCTCCGCTCTCTACAACACACACAGTGAGACAGTAGGGCTCCAAGTCACAGAATGACACATGCAAGGCAGGCTCTCTGTGACCCACAAGCTCTCCAGTTGTCTCTCCGCTCTCTACAACACACACAGTGAGACAGTAGGGCTCCAAGTCACAGAATGAAACATGCAAGGCAGGCTCTCTGTGACCCACAAGCTCTCCAGTTGTCTCTCCACTCTCTATAACACACACAGTGAGACAGTAGGGCTCCAAGTCACAGAATGACACATGCAAGGCAGGCTCTCTGTGACCCACAAGCTCTCCAGTTGTCTCTCCGCTCTCTACAACACACACAGTGAGACAGTAGGGCTCCAAGTCACAGAATGACACATGCAAGGCAGGCTCTCTGTGACCCACAAGCTCTCCAGTTGTCTCTCCACTCTCTACAACACACACAGTGAGACAGTAGGGCTCCAAGTCACAGAATGACACATGCAAGGCAGGCTCTCTGTGACCCACAAGCTCTCCAGTTGTCTCTCCACTCTCTACAACACACACAGTGAGACAGTAGGGCTCCAAGTCACAGAATGACACATGCAAGGCAGGCTCTCTGTGACCCACAAGCTCTCCAGTTGTCTCTCCGCTCTCTATAACACACACGGTGAGACAGTACGGCTACAAGTCAAGAAATACAGAAAGTCAGAGATATGCAAATTCTTTATCCACACAAGGTTCCTTTATGTCACAAGCTCTCTACTCTAATATATACAGGATCTGTTCTGCATTCTAATCAACAGGTCTTATTTTAAATTAAAAACCAGCATTAAGAATGTCTGATCCCTTAAATACAGGTACCAAATCAAATATTGTATTTTTGAACCATTAAGCCCTAGTTTACAATAGGCCATGTCTAAAGAAAAGTGATTGTCCTTTACCATTAAGGACAATCACTTTTCTTCATTTTCATTGCTTGGAGTTTCTTCACTGAGTTGCAACGATTGTCTAGCAAATAACCCTTGATATTTTCTAAGAAGAATCTTTATCGTAGAATTTTAAATCAAGTAAGGCTACTGTAATGTTAAAAGACCCCTGAACAAAAAATAAACACAATATCAATGTTTTACTCATGTCAGGGACAACTTACCAACATTGACAAAAAGCAAAGGACCAGACACACTTCCAACCAGGATCTCTTGTCTCTTTAGGTTGTACTTTGAAAAGACAATGAAGTTACTTGCTGGCAATTTAGGAAGCATCCAAAATCTGTAAAGTAATTTAAATTATCAGAAAACATTAAGTCGTGTAAACTGTATACAAACAGGTGAGAAGATAGGTACAAAATAATTATTTTTCTGCTTAGCTAAGCAGATTTTGACAGGATTGTGGAAAATTCTGATTCAGTACTGAATCCAAAGTCACAAAGTATTGAGAATCAACAATACCTGGAAACTTCTCCCACCAAAAAGTGTTCTTGATCGTTAATCAGAATCGTCTTGTCCCTACTTTTAAAGCTCAACCGCAACAATATTAATCCAAGTTTTGGACACAGTATAAAATACAAGTTTAAGATTTTTATGGTTATGCTTGAATAGCAACCTTTTTCTCACATACATATTTAGGCATATTTGTTAATTACTTTTTGTAATTAGTGTGATATTGACTAAAACAAAGCCTATATGTACCCCAATTTGATATTATAATATTATAGACACTATACACATTATATCAACTATTATGACTGGGACGGTGGCATCGCCCTGTAATCCAGCTACTAGGAGGTCACGAATTGTGGATATTTATAGGCATGCACTGTGGATGCGATGCTCCCTGGTGTGGATTAACGTCCGCACTAGAGAGTACTAAGACTATCCGCAGTACTATCCTGATACTTAGACCAATTTGTTAATTACAAGGAAAAAGTGTGGTGCGGATTCCACTATAAACTGTAGGTACCTTAGTTGCCATTGCTGTATGGGCTATTAATTAACATAATGATAATGATAATTTATTTGTACATAACATACAAACATGTGAAAATCACATGTACAGGTGCTTTGCCTTGATTTCTTAAAAAATTGTTTGTCAGTCCTTAATTATTCTAAAACATAAATTAGTTGTTGATCACAGTTCAAGATTGCGCCACTCATCCTTCAAACATATTTGGGTTAAAATCTAACATAGTAGCGTCCCCATCTTAAATCTATATTTATATAATAATTGATTGATATAACTAGCCTATGATTATGAAGGGGGGTGCGTTTCTGAAACACAATGTCCTTGGCAAGCCCCTCCCCCTCCGAGACTCTATCCTGAAGCTGCTCCTGCATGCGGATGTTGCTTGCCACTAATTGTTTTTGTGTTCACACCGTGTCTAGCTACTACAACTGGATTAAGTCCCCAAGATTAATCAAATTGCTCAAATATTAACTTTTTTTAATCTTTGGTAAAACTATCCAACATTTTTATCATACAAATCAGCTTCATTCCCACTTTTTTCCTGTCAGAGAACTTTTAGCTTTTAACCTATTTTAGCCAAGTACGATATCAAAAGGCCTAGTAAATTAGCCTATAAACTTAAATTGTTGATAATACTCACTTATTATACAATAAATCTATAATGAAGGTGTTCCCCATAGAGTCAGACACTGCTAGTCGTTCTCCTGCCAAATCAAAGGACGCTGAGGTGAAATGGTGTTTAGAAACTTTTCCTTTCGGTCCAGGCAATGAATGGTGGACATGAAGTACCAATCTACAAGAAACAAATTGTGTTTACTTAATAGCCACATAAATCTTGACAAAAACCAAAATCAATTGAAGCTTTTGAGTTTTGTGTTAAACAATAGGGTTTCCGGGAATTTTATCCCCCTGGAATTTTACCCCCTGGGCAAATCTAACGTCACTGATTGCTATGACGTAGTAACTTGAGAGCTCTACAGTTTGTTGGCGGACGTAATTTTACCCCCGTGGATTTTGAAGTCTAACTACTAGAGTCTATACTAGGCCTACTATAATTTGTGATTTTTTGTGAATTCGTAATAATTTATTTTTCTTTATTGTTTAGGTGAAGTGGTAGAACATTATGGCTATCGTAGATGTGTAATACCATTAGTTTACCGTCAATTTAAGGAAGCAAATTTTATCAAACTTTGTCCTAACCCCATTGCAAATGCAAAGCTTGAGTATAACTGCAAGAAGCATTTTAAACTTATATGCCAACCCCGTACGAAGGGCGGGTACTCTGCTAGTACTTTATAATACTTTTCGATGAACTTATTATTTTGTAATTATGTACGCCTTACATATTTATTAGTTTTTAACTCTGTCTAAGTTATCCACCAAGGACTGGTCATCGACGTTGAGGGAGGTAGGCTAAATTTTAAAATCTTACAATAAAACTAAAAAATACCCAAATCTGGATGAGTATCCTCCTATCAACCTATAAATTTTCATTTTATTAGCAGTAGACTACTGGTAAGTACTACCTAACTTAATTAAGTAGGCCTATAACTTAATAGTATTTAAATTTTGGCAAATTAGGGCACAAAATATGTATTGATCAACTTTAAAATAAGGGCTTCGGTTGTTTCTACAAAAGTCAAGTAAGTTACCGTACCGTAATGAAGCCTATGCAGAGTTCAATTCAGATTGAAAATTAAAAAGCTCTTACCCATCTTTACCAACTTTCTTCTTTTCAAATGAAGTCTTTGGAATCTCCTTGTTATTGTCATGGAGAATCAAATTAAGGCTTTCATCTCCATCAGTCATAATCTGAAAAATTAAGGAAGTAGGGCCTAAGGCTTTAATCTTTTTGTGTGACTCACTAAGTTATCTATAAAGCCGCGTTAAATCTAAGGCAGTTGGCAGGCATATTACTTGCCTCAGGTAACTTGAAATACATTAGAAGCAAGTAAGTTAACCTGCTCCCTTAAGCCGCCTTTACACCGGAGTTAATAACACGTGTTTTTAACAAAAAGTTATTAACTTAACAGAATTGCCCAAAAATTTCTCTAAACAAAAGTTAATAACTTGTGTTTTTAACAGAAAATTCCTTGTTATCCATCAAGAGTCGGTAAAGATCAAAGGAAATGTGTTATGTATTTAACAAATGTTAGTAACAAAAGTTAATGGTCTCTTTTAGCCCGTTAACTTTTGTTAATAACAGGTCCCTCTCTTCCCCGCAACCCCCGCGTAACAACTATTCAACGGTGGTACCGGTACATGTAATACTAATAATATTTGCATGGCTTTTAGTGGAGGGGATTCTTTGGTGCAGGAAAAGTTATAGCCTACTCACTAAGGGCTAAACAAGTTATTTGTCACTACTGTAGTGTGATTTGAAACAGGGAAATTTTTAGTTGTGGGTCTTTACAGAACACCATCTGATAATGCTGAAATCTATCTAGACAAATTAAATGAACTGTTGCAAATTTTAAATAAAATTAACCGTAACATTCTACTGGGGGGCGATTTTAATATTGATGTTTTGAAGGAAGACAAAAAGAAAAAAAATTGTGAATATAATACAAATGCATGGTTTTCAATATACTATTAAAATACCAACTAGAGTTACTGAACGTAATGAATCAGCTATTGATAATTTTATCACCAACATAGATGACAAATGTTTTAAAGTAGAAAGTTTAATCACAGCTTTGTCAGACCATGATGGACAACTCTTCAAAATTTTAAATTTAAAAAGTAAAAACAATATAAATTCTAAAATACATAAATTTGAAAGAAGATTTAAACCTGAAAACATTAAACTCTTCATTCATGATCCCTACAAGGAGGATTGGACAAAGCTTTATAACTGTAATGTTGAAGACAAATTTACTTACTTCTATAACACACTTAAATATTATTTTGATTTACATTTTCCAAAAACTAAAATAGTCACGAGTAATGTAAATAACAGCTGGATCGATGATGAAATTATCAATGAGCACCGTCAATTAATTGCAGAGCACCAATTGTACAGGAATGATAGAAGTAACATTAAGTTAAAGAATTGTATTAAAGAATGTAAAAAAAGATATAGAAAAATTATAAAGCTTAAGAAAAAATAGTTATTTGTGTAACTAGTGGTGAAAGTGGCACTTTGCTGCACACGAGAGCAATGTTTACCAGAACTCTCTAGTTTTGACGAAATACTCAACAAGGCTATTGCTTTAGAGGCATCAAAACTTGACAGCAAAGAACTTTCTAAACCTAATCAGACATCAAGTTTTAACAATTTTACTTCTACCGAATCTACTAATGTGATTTCCAGCAGTTACAGAACTTCTAGAGACCGTTCGAAAGATCCAGGAAACAGAAGATTAAATTCAAACAACAGATCTTCACCTGAAAACTACAAGTCTAGATCGTCTAGATCTGTCTCCCGAAAAAGGTACATCGACTTCAAGGCCTTGGGAATTGAAAACGTATGTTTGCGATGTGGTAGAAATAGTCACAAGGCAAGTAACTGTAGAGTAGATTATAAGACGCTCTCGTGTAATAACTGCAAAAGGAAAGGTCATGTATCAAAAGTTTGCATTCAATCACTACTCAAAAATTCAAAAGTAGATTCAGTTGAACCGTATTTAAATTCAGATACTAATAGTGAACAGTTCAATCAACCTTTTCATGACCCAACATACGGCATTCATAGCATGAATTGTACTGTAGTAGACCTTTTTGAAATGACTCCTGATCTCGACAAATACCTCATTGATTTAGAATTAAACGGCAAACGTCAACGTTTTGAAGTCGATTCCGGTGCAAAATTTTCCCTACTTTCAGAAAGTGATTTCAAGAAACTCAAGCTACAGAATTCTAATGTTTGCTTTCGTTCATACACAGGTAACATCATTAAACCTGTTGGGAAGGTATCTGTTACTGTATCTTACAATGGTAAACAGATAGATGGTGAACTACACATCGTACCTGCAGGACATGAGGCTTTGTTAGGTAGACAGTGGATTAGAGGGTTAGAAATCGAGCTTCGTCAGGTGTACGATGAAATGTTTCAGAAACCTTCAAACCATGTTTCAATTCACAAAGTAAACTCGATAAACGCTTTTTCACCCAAACTCAAAACATATACAAGTTCAACAGATAAACTAATCGGAGCTGAAGTTAACCAGCTTTATTCTCAATCACTTTTTCGATTATCCAACTATGAAACATCTTCAATGACAATGCAAGAAGGGACAGAAAAAGCCTATGAAATGAATGGTGTATTTCAAACCTTGGAAAACGTCTCTACAGACTCAAAAAAACACTCTACATTAAACCCTATTTTAAAACCCGTTATATCGATTCAAGAGGGGGAGAGAGTGCAAGTTCAAATATTCTCTAACAACAGACAAGTTTGGCAGTTCGCAGTAATTAAGAAGAAGCTAGGAAAAAGGCACTTTATAGTAACACTAGATAGTGGAAGAAACGTCAAGAGACACATTAACCAGTTGAGACCAACTATCATGAAAGAGAAGAAGGTAACATTTGGACCTGAACAACCGTTTGATGTACCAAGACTCCCAAACCAAACTCCACCTTATCCTGATCAAAGACCCGACCATACTGAACCAGACCAGCCTAAAGAAGTCAACATTCCACTTCGCTCTCCACGACCAACAAGACAACGACGACAGCCACCTTGGTTACGAGACTTTATCGTTCAAAAATAGTTTATGTTCTTCTCAATAAGTGAGGGAGAGTGTCATAATCTTGTTCTATTACTCTATTCTAAATAGTCAGCTGTTAGTAAATATTAAATAGTAAACACTTCTTATTGTTACTTTTTGAAAACATTACATTAGAAAAACATCTATGTTGTAAAAATAAAGTTATATAAGTTACAATGTGCGTGTATTTCAATAGTACGGTCACAACATGAACCAATTTTAATATCCATAAATAGACCAATTAAAACCTAAATGGTCATCAGGTTATGATGAAATTCCGATTAGAATAATAAAAGAATCTAAATCTGTTTTATTAAAGCCACTTTTACTCTGTCATTAATACTTCACTTATAACAGGTGTTTATCCTGATAAGCTGAAAATTTCAAAAATTATCCCGGTATATAAAAAAGGAGACAAAAAAGATCCAAATAACTATCGACCACTGGCAATTCAACCAGCTCTTTCAAAATTATTTGAAAAATGCTTTCTTTTTCAGCTAGTGGATTATTTTGAAATTAATAACTTATTAAATAAAGAGCAGCATGGTTATAGAAAAAACAAATCCACCACTACAGCACTTATATCTTATATTGAAAATGTGTTGGAAAAGTTGGATGAGGACAACAAAGTAATTGGTGCCTTTTTGGATATGTCCAATGCATTTGACAGCGTGCACCATTTAAAGTTACTAAATAAACTTAAAATGTATGGAATTGGTGGCAAAGAGTTAAGCTGGATTGAATCTTATCTGGAGGGATGCCAACAGTTTGTTAACATTGTTCATTTAAGTGGGAATAAAATGTACCATATTAAATCTGAGGTTAGGACAGTAAAATACTCAGTGCCACAAAGATCAGTGTTGGGCCCATTCTTGTTCTTGTGCTACTTGGGAGGGATGCCAAAACATTTATTGGAACATGTAGAAAATAATACTCTGTGCTTGTATGCAGATGACATAAGTATGTCGATTTATGATAAGAATATGGAGCTTCTTAAAAATAAAACTCATGATTCACTCACAATAATTAAAGATTACTTGAATGAAAAAAATCTTTTACTAAATGAAAATAAAACAACGTTCATTGAGTTTGAATCTAAAAAATCTAGAAAAGAACTGTTTAACAATTTTGTTTATGAAACTAAATTTTTAGGCCTCACCTTAAATAGCACACTTAATTGGACCTCACATGTTGACAACTTATGTAATAAAATCAGCTCAAGTATTTTTGCTATTAGACGCTTATATCCATTATGCAACAGAGAAATCTTAAGAAACGTTTACTTTGCTACTATTCACTCACATATTTCTTACGGTATAGAAATTTATGGAGGAACAAGTAAATTCAATTTAAAGAAAATTTTACATTTACAAAAAGAAGCCATTAGGTGTATCCTTAATCTCGATATAAACGAATCCTGTAAAAATCATTTTAAAGAATTAGAGTTCTTTACCGTTTTCAGTCTCTATACTTATAAGACGATAATGTAGGCTATGTTAAAAATCATGAATCAGAACTTCAAAGACAGAAAGACGTACATAATTATAACACTAGAAACAAACTAAACTTCATAACTAAAAAACATAAAAAAGAAAAATTTAAGGAAAGTCCTAATTATATTGGAATCAAATTCATGCATTCCCTCCCTAGCAGTATTAGAAACGAAAGTAGCGTAAATAAATTCAAAGATAAACTTAAGGGGTTTTTAATTTATAGCGAATTTTATAGTTTGGAAAGTTTTGAACACTGTAACAAAAAAACTGTATGACTAAGCAATTAGGGAAGTAGGTGAAATCATGTGAAGTAGTTTTAGGTTGATGACACATTCATGTACACTTGTTGTATGTATTGAATAAAGATTTATTGATTGATTGATTGATTGATTGGTCTCTAAAATCCTGCGTATTAATTACAAACCTGTTCAGTTTCTTTATTTGTTTGCTCATATATTAACTTAATTTTGCCAAATAAATAGAACACTTTTATGTGACTTGCATGTTTTAAATATGCATTGCCATAACTTCCATAAATTTTGGTTGCAGTAATTTGTCGCTTATTATGTCCATCCTTCACTCATGTTATTTTCTACACAGTCTACAATCAGTTAAATGGTTTATTTTTCACCTTAAGTGGTTTCTGACCAAGATCAGATTTTTCTTTAACCAAGACCATTATTGATAAAACCTAGTTGTGTAATTCACTTACGACTGGGTCTCTTTATGACTCCCCAAGCTTAAACCATCCAAAAACTAAGTACAGTTTTTGCTCAGGATCAAACCGACAACCTCATACTTCTGGTACCACCGTTGAATTCTACAACTGCTGGCTGTGCATGAGCGATGATTCAAGATTGCGGAGTGACTTAAATGGTTTTAACAAAAACTGAAATAGGCCTAGGCCTACGCCTACAAAATAATTTGTTAACTTACTTTCTTTCTGTTAGGCCTATTAACTTTTGTTAATGACTGCCGGTTAATACCAAAAGCTAATTAACTTTATGTTATTAACTCCGGTGTAAAAGCGCCTTTACCTGCCTGCTCCACAGGCCACGTGCAAACATGACTGTATTGTATACCATAATGGGTTAGGCCTACATTATACTAGGTTAGTGTAAACCACAGAGCGAAAACCAGCCTACCATGGAACACTACCAAGTTTTGTTATCATAAATAAGCAAAAGTTGACCTCCCAAATATAACAAAAAAATTAACCCCATACATCAGAATCCCAGAAAGGGTTTTAAAAATATAGAATATTAATTTACTTAAAACACTTACGCAGAAAATTGTTCTTCATATTTTAATAAGTAAAATTCATTCCGGAATTCTCATCTAAAATATTAGTATGAGTTAGCCATTCGCCTTCAAATTTCCTGACAAAATAAATTTAACTCATTGTTAACTACTCTTGTTCTAAATAGGACTAACTCCACAACGTAAACTTAAACACAACACAAGTAAACACAAGTAAAGTAAACTAACATAAACAATCGCTATAACCATCAATCAACAAAACAAAACAGACGCCAGGACTAGAAATTTTGAAAATTGACATACGTTTTTTCCTTCTGCTTATTTATTTGTCTGTTGTCAAGCAAAGCTGCCAACATACAGACAGCAAACAACAAAGCCATCGCGAAGCTCATTGATTTTAAAAATGTTTTAATGTTTCGTAGTTGTAAAGTTAGTTTAAAAAAAAGTAATATTAATCATTAACAACTATTAACTAAATACTAAATTACTTGGGTACTTTTCTGTTATACCGACCATACCTTAATTAGGTTAAGTTGTTGGTAAGCGTACAATCATAGAAATGTTTTATCTATGGTACAATGCAGTATTCTGTTGAAATGCATTGTGTAGCCCCTGAACTGTATTAGACTATCATTTAAGGTACTGTACAGTGTACATACCTTTACGTCCACAGTCACGGCCACCTTTAACTCCAGGCCGCGGCCTGGTAGAATTGGCAACGTTGCAAGTGGTGTTGTCTAGCGCTAGCCGTCTCATAAGATTACATGGCAGACAGATGACACCAGCTCATTAATTCGTGTATTATTCATTTAAATTCATGAACATATGGAAAAAACCTGGACCCGGGACCGATTTAATTTTTCATTTTGAGGTCCCCAGAGGCCAAAAACACCATCCGTTCAAATTCATATATATATATATATATATTTATTTATTTAAAATATATGGGTCCGTTAGCAACAACTCGAACAAAAATTATCCGATTTTGATGAAATTTGGTATAAACATTTAAACCTACATTTATTCGAACGAGTTCGCGAACCAGCATGATCGGACTATGGGATCAGGGTTTTATGGGGTAAAAATGGGGTTTTCCCCTTTTTGACCCTAAAAACATAGAATTTTGGAATTTATATCCCAACCATTTTGTAGAGCTTAAAAAAAGAAATAATTTAGTATATTGAAGCATTGTATGCCTAATGGTTATGAAGAAGATTAAAAATAATGCAAATTTAAAATTCCCATGTTATTCTTATGGAGAAAATGAAAAATGTTGTAGTTTACTTGTTTATGGATATATATGTTGATCAAATTATTTGGCAAATTTATTTATTTCATTCTATACTATTGACGTTTGGTCAAAAAACACTGTTTACCTTCCCTGTGGCAGCAAACCTAAGCACTCGTTAAATCTAATGCTATTTAAATTGGGAATAAATATGTCTTATCTATGGAAATATTTTAGTAAATATGTAATCAGACAAGTTGAAATTTGCTTAGTCTGCAGGTTTGCTGCGACGGGGGTATTTTTTAAAATTGAAGGCATTCCTTGGACATAACACAAAAATAATAAAGGCCCCAGAATGGAGCCTTGAGGAACTCGGGCAAAAATGATCCAATTTTGATGAAATTTGGTATAAAAATAAAATAATAAACGTGTAAACTTACATTTAATTTATTCAAACGAGTTTGGGGTAAAAATGGGGACGGGTTTTCCCTTTTTTGACCCTAAAAACATAAACTTTTAAAACTTTTTCTAAACCATTTTGTAGAGCTTAAAAAAATAAATTAATTAGTATATTTATGCGCTGTTGTATGTCTAACGGTTACAAAGAAAATTTAAAAAAAGTGTAAATAAAAAAAATATGTTTGGAGAAAAAGTAAACTGTTTTAGTTTACTTCTTTACTTGTTTATGGATATATGTTGATAACGTTTGGCAAATTTATTTATTTCATCCTATCCTATTTACGTTTGGTCAAAAGTCACCTTTTACCTTCCCCGTAGCAGCAAACCTAAGTAAAATCTAATGTTATTAAATTCGGAATAAATATGTCTTATTTATGGAAATACTAGCAGAGTACCCGTCCTTTGTACGGGGTTGGCGTATAAGTATAAAATGATTATTGCAGTTATACACTATAGCACATCTACCATAGCCATAATGTTCTACCACTGCACCTATACAATAGAAAAAGTTAAGTTCTAACAGCTTTTTATTGCTGCTTGGTTCAAATTAGCTGTTGTCGAAATGCAAAAAGAATTAATAGTGATGCTTGTTGGTAAACCTTATAACTTTTTTTAATGCTATTTAATATCATAGAATCACAGTGGCGGATCCAGAGGGGGGCGAAGGGGATGACAGCCCCCCCTTGGGCATACATACATTTATATATATACTAGCAGAGTACCCGTCCTTCGTACGGGGTTGGAATATAAGTATAAAATGCTTATTGCAGTTTACTCAAGCTTTGCGTTTGCAATAAGGAAAGACACAGTTTGATAAAATTTGCTTTTTTAAATTTACAGTATTCTATAGTATTACACATCTACCACGGCCATAATGTTCTACCACTTCACCTAAACAATAGAGAAAAAAAAAATATCAACAATCCGCAAAATATCACAAATTATTCATGAAATGAAAAACATAAACATAACTGTAAACAATCCTACTTTGACAGTTCTCATTGCGAATCACAGTTTTTTATTGCTGCTTAGTTCAAATTAGCTGTTTTCATAAATGCAAAAAAATATAGTGCTGCACCCTGTTGGTAAATCTTATAACTTTTTAATGCTTTTCTATATCATAGAACCAACTTTTTTAATTGAAACAGCTGACAAAATTCTTAAATTCCCTTTAAATATCAATACTCATAAGGTTAAAATGGGGAATTACAGAGCCACTGGGGCGGAGCCCGAAAGGATTTTTGAGATAAGAATATGCCTATATGTTTATCGGGAATGTAAGCTATCATCATGCCAAATTTCAGCCCAATCCGTCCAGTGGTTTATGCGTGATTGAACTTCAAACAAACAAACACACAAACTTTCACATTTATAATATTAGTAAGATTTTTGTTTACTATATGTAATACAGTAGTGCATACACATTGTGTAAAATAATTTGTCACACTAACTTTGGACAAAGAAATAGTATAAAACTGCCATTTTGGAGACTAAGTTTACACAAATTTTTCGGGGTGATAACCTTGAACCCCCCCGACCCCCCCCCCCCCCCGGTTTGCCACTTCCCTTGTGACTGTTCTAGATACATCACTGTATCAAGCTTGTGAAGTTGAACCCGCTGACAAAATTCTTTTATTTCTTTTAAATATGAATACTCATCATAAGGTTAACATGGGAAACTCCACTGGGGCAGAGCCTGAAAGGATTTTTAGATAAGAATGTGTCTATATGTTAATCGGGAATGTGAGGTATCATCACACCAAATTTCAGCAGAATCCGACGAGTATTTTTCGCGTTTACTTGTCACAAACATCACATCCATACATCCAATCTTTCTCACTTATAATATTAGTAGGAAAATCAAATCAAAAGTTCTTTATTTCACACACTATACACATAAATAGTCAATTATTACAGTAAAAATACATCTGTTTTCAAATCTTAACAATTTAATACAATAATGTCCTCATACATTTTTTATTTTTTTCATAAAAGAGGTTGGCGGCCTCTTTTAACCTTGCATTTGCCTGTCCACATAGATTACAGATCTGTGCGTGGAACGTATCCAGCTAAGCAGGGGGTGAGCCGGTACAGTACAAAGGTGAACTGTACTGATAAAACTTTGTGGCAGTGACCAGGATCCGAACCCACGACACTGCTGCCTTGGGCCCAAAGTCCGCGACGCTACCAACTGAGCCACCGACTCACCAACGATTAGACTCACCAAATACTCACCAACATACTTAAGTTCTCTATAGTGATCAACAAATATAAATAATTTACATATAAATAAAATATTTATATTACATATATGTATTACAATTTTAGATATTGATGGTTAAAACACTTAAGCCTAAACTACTGACTACTGCATTAAAACTAGAATCTTAAATAAGAAATCTTTCATCAATCAATGTTTTCTTAGCGAGATTTCTTCGCCCTCCTATGTGTCTAATCACCATCAGAACCTGAAAACAAAATTATATCAGAAAGTAAAAACATAATACTTCAAATAAGACAGCAGGTTGTAGGGACTACCAACTCTTCAACCTTTTCTCTTGTCTCTGAAGAAGTTTTATATTAGGACGAAATATCAGTGTTATATGTTTTGTTGCCTTTTATTGGTGTGTGTCTATTAGCCCATGTACTCTAATTCCTAAGTTAAGCTAGGTAAACTGTATTCCTTAACAAATAATATTATAATTACCGTAGCTACTTGGCTTTCCATTAAAATATAACCTCCAACCTGATGTAATTAAGTTTAAACAAATAATATGCGTAATTTAACCACTTTAATAAATTCCTTGTAAACAAGGCATTTAAAGTGTTCTTTCATCTTTTACGCTTTGCTTGTAAAGTGATGTTTTCATTTAGAAATACTGTAATTAGTAGTTTTAGAAGATTCGTTTAGCAGTTTAGTCAAATGACCAGGGACAACGCGTTTGTCAGTGGGGGAACAACTTTTAGTCACTAGTCACTGATCCTTTGCCAGATAGTGTAAAAAAAAACTTTATTTAGGGTCTAGTGTTTTAAGATGTTGAGGTGGGATATACAAAAGGACAAAAAATTTGTCGCAGCAAAAACTGTTCTCTTATCAATTTTTTTTCCTCCTTGAAAATATGCAAGATATTTAAATAATAAAGACGTTCAATAAAAAAGCATCTACTTTAAAGATTCTTTCCGAAACCTGGTCCAGCTAAAAAAAATAAAGTAAATATGGTACGAAGTATAATAAAAAATTATTCATTAATACCATAAAGTCACACATTTTATAAGACACATGTTATAGTTACAAAAACCCTACCTAGTTTGATCAGCATGGACAATAATGAAAGTTTAATATTTTCCCTCAGACCCATATATTTAATGGGTTTTGTACCTATGACTATTTTATATCACTGAATTGTTTTTGTTTCAATTTTAAAATGAAATAAGTTGAACATACCTTTGCCAAAAGCGC